CCCGCTGGGGTTGCGGCCGCGGGCCCTGCCTGCCGCTGCCCCGTGAGGCAACATGGCGCTGAGGCGCCGGCAGCGAGCCCGGGTGGGCCCGGGGCGGTGCTGGAAGGGGTCGGGGACCCTCTGAGACCCTCCCGGCCCAGGGTGCGGGGCCTTTGCCCCGGGGACGAGTGGCTGCCCTCGGGCAGAAGCCACCGGCGCTTCGCCCCTTCCTTTCTCCCTTGAGGACAGCGGCTGCAGTGGAGGGTACGTGGTTATGGCAAGACAGGTGGTAGCGTACAAATACGAATCGGGGGATCTTCCTGCCCTGTTCACTGTTCGGTTGAGGAAGGTAAGAAAATTTATGTTCTATGCTCGCTTCTGAAGTCGGGCTCGTTTCGTTGTCTGTCATTTAACGGTGGGCCTTATTCTTGGCTTGGCCTCTAGGTGATACCATAATACAACAGTCGGTATAGTCTGTATTAGGGATATGAGGCGCGGTTTACCGATGTCATTAAATTGACTCAAGAAAACAGTAAGCTGATAAAATGTATTGCATCTAGAGGCATCACTCGAAGTGGTCCTGGTTGGTGGCCTGATACCTGCAGATGCAGAGAAGTGTCGAAGATTTTTTTATATGACATCTTGCCTATTTGTACAAGGTGTTACATAAACATCTTGTGGCAAGATGTCATAGAAAGTGATCCTGCCACCAGCCGGGACCATTTAAAGCGATGCTTCCAGATGCAATACATTTTACTGGCTTATTGTGCTCTCGAAGCAAGAGAGAAGTCAAGATATATACAACATCTAAAATCAAGATGTTTATATAAACATCTTGTAACTTCATCTCTTTTCCAATTTTTCTGTAACTCTTTCATAGAATCATTAAGATTGGAAAGGACATCTGAGGTCATCAAGTCAAACCGTTAACCTAACTGCCAGGACCACCTCTAAACCATGTCCCTAAGCACTACATCCACATGTTTTTTGAATACTCCCAGGGACTGTGATTGCACCACTTCCCTGGGCAGGCTGTTCCAATGCCTAACCACTCTCTCCGTGAAGAAATTTTTCCTAATATCCAATCTAAGACTCCCCTGGGGCAACTTGAGGCCGTTTCCTCTTGTCCTATCTCTTGTTACTTGGGAGAAGACACTGACCCCCACCTCGATAACAGCCTCCTTTCAGGCAGTTGTAGAGAGTGATAAGGTCTCCCCTCAGCCTCCTCTTCTCCAGGCTAAACAACCCCAGTTCCCTCAGCCGCTCTTCATAAGACTTGTGCTCCAGACCCTTCCCCAGCTTCGTTGCCCTCCTCTGGACACGCTCCAGCACCTCGATGTCCTTCTTGTAGTGAGGGGCCCAAAACTGAACACAGTACTCGAGGTGCGGCCTCACCAGTGCCGAGTACAGGGGCACTATCACCTCCGTTGCATGGGGTTGTTGTGACCCAAGTGCAGGACCTGGCACTGAGCCTTGTTGAACCTCATACAGTTGGCCTGGGCCCAACGATCCAGCCTGTCCAGGTCCCTCTGCAGGGCCTTCCTACTCTCCAGCAGATCGACACTTCCACCCAACTTGGTGTCATCTGCAAACTTACTGAGGATGCACTCAATCCCCTCATCTAGATCATCAATGAAGCTATTGAACAGGACCGGCCCCAGTACTGAGCCCTGGGGAACACCACTTGTGACCGGCCGCCAACTGGATTTGACTCCTTTCACCACCACTCTCTGGGCTCGGCCGTCCAGCCAGTTTTCTATCCAGCGGAGAGTGCACTTATCCAAGCCGTGAGGAGCCAGCTTCTCCAGGAGAATGCTGTGGGAGACAGTGTCAAAGGCCTTACTAAAATCCAGGTAGACAACATCCACAGCCGTCCCCTCATCCACCAAGTGGGTCACCTTGTCATAGAAGTAGATGAGGTTGGTCAAGCAGGACCTGCCTTTCATAAACCCATGCTGGCTGGGCCTGATCACCCAGTTGTCCCGCATGTGCCGTGTGATGGCGCTCAGGGTGATCTGCTCCATGACCTTCCCTGGCACCGAGGTCAGGCTGACAGGCCTGCTGTTCCCCGGATCCTCCTTCCGGCCCTTCTTGTAGATGGGTGTCACATTTGCTAACTTCCAGTCATCTGGGACCTCCCCGGTTGACCAGGACTGCTGATAAATAATGGAGAGTGGCTTGGCAAGCTCCTCCGCTGCTCCCTCAGTATTCTCGGGTGGATCCCATCTGGCCCCATAGACTTGTGGGCATCCAGGTGGAGTAGCAGGTTGCTGTTACCTCTTCAATTATTGGGGCTTTATTCTGCTTCCCATCTCTGTCTCCCAGCTCAGGGGGCTGAATACCCTGAGGATAACTAGTCTGACTATTAAAGACAGGCAAAGAAGGCATTCAGTACCTCATCCTTTGTGGTGATGTTTCCCTCCACATCCAATAAAGGATGGAGATTCTTCTTGGCCCTCCTTTTGTTGCTGATACATTTGTAAAAACATTTTTTGTTATCTTTAACTGCAGTGGCCCGTTTAAGTTCTAGCTGGGCTTTTGCCTTATCAATTTTCTCCCTGCATAACCTAACAATATCCTTGTAGTCTTCCTGAGTTGCCTGCCCCTTCTTCCAAAGATGGAAGAACGTCTTTAAAACGTTTACATCTCTCAGCCTCTTCTTCAGTCATGGCGTGTCTTCTCCCTGATGTGATTATGTTCTGCAAGATACAATTTTGTCAGCTTCTGCAAATGGAGCCGAGCAAGGCAATGTACATATTTCCACAAGACAGCTCCTCAAAGACGATTCAGTAAGTGGCACTCCTGTGTCCAACTGGCCCTATGTTCTGGAAGGGTTTTCTTTCAGAGAAATCTAATGCCCAATGCTTTTAACCAACAGTATGTATCTTCCTCATTTTGACCATTTCTTAGCATTTTTCTAGTAGGTAAAAAAGGTTAGTGTCAGTGATATACTTCTGTACATAGATCTTTAAGAACCCCTAAGGCGCAAGTTTTCAAACTCATGTTCAGTGCTAATCTAGATATTCTTCAAACAGCAGAATCATGTAATCCTTTACTCATTCGATTTTTTACACGTAGTTCATTGGTTTTAACATTAGGAAAGAAGCTTGAGATCCCATCATGTAGGGTTTTTTTCTTTTTATGTTTCCAAATCCTAATTCTGCCGTATTAGTCACATTTTAGCATAGGCAAATCTGGTCTCCGCTAAGTTCCCCTTGGGAAGCCTGTTCTGCTTCATGGCATACTGCTGTTCTCTCCTGATGGTGCTCAACTTGTTGTTTAGTATTTGTATGGTACTTTGATTATACAAAGTGAAACAAAGCTTTCAGAGCTAAGCTAGATCAGGTTTTTTATATATTTGTGGGGGGGAGAATGATCATGCACCAGTGACAGCTATGTTGGGATTAACCTCAAGAAGGCAGTTGAAATTTTTAGTATATTGAGAGTAAAACTACTGTCTGCTTATGCACGCTAGTATTTCTGATTTAGCCTGCCCTTATGCTGTCCAGAATGGTGGGAAATTTCTTTGAGAATTTTTTGAACGTGCTAGTAGAAGAATGGGTACAGTAGAGTCAGTACACACAATTACTTGTTTTTCATCTCGATTTGACAAGGTCTTTCACAAAATGCTGTTATGAGAACTATATAGTCGTGGGTGATAGGGGAGGCATTACTATGGATCAGAATCCTGTTTTCTGTCTCAGATGAGGAAAGGGACAAAAAGTTTGAGTTTTCTTAATGATTTGGAAAAAGGGAGGAGGAGGGGAGGGAGGAGGCAATATCTGTAGCTGGCACAAAATTATTTAGGGCTATAAAAACAAGAAATAAGCAGCAAGGAACTTAATTAAGCTAGAGGAACTGGCAATGTGGTGAAGATACTAATCAATGTTGATAAACTGAAGTAACACACATTGTGCAGAGTAGCTTGAGCTGCTTGTTTGGTTTATGTTGTTTTTTTTAATTCATCCGTAAAGCAAGAAAAAAGATTGGGCAGTTCTGTAATCTGTGAGTATTACTGAAGTCTCTGTAGCAATAATTTAAAAATGAAACAATCTGGATAAGGATGAGATGCCAAATACCTTGTAGTGCTGTTATATTAATCAGTGCTGAAACTCTCTGTTTGAGTATGTATTTGGTAATGGCTGCTGTGTCTCAAAAGCAAATATCAGAGAGTTTGGTGAAGAAATGATTTGAATGTGGAAAACCTTATAGGAGGAAAAATTGAAAAAATGTCAGGAGATCAGAAGAGTGGTGAAACATCCGTAGGAAATATTGAAAAATATAGGGAAGATATTTTCTTGTTACCTTTTCTCGTAATACAGGAGCTCGTAGAGAATTTTGACCTTTAGGTATGTAACCTAAGCGACCTCAGATTTAAGGATGATACTTGACTGTTTTTTTTATTTTTTTCCTCCCAAAGGGCAGTATCAGCAGGTAAATGTTCCTGAAGACCAAGCAGACAAGTTGCTCCTTGCAAGCTGGGGTCTTCCCAAAGCAGTTCTGGAGAAATACCGCAGTCTGGGAGTAGTACAGATGTTTGAATGGCAAGCAGAATGCCTAACGCTCGGACAAGTTCTGGAAGGGAAGAACCTAGTTTACTCAGGTATGCAAACATCTGACAAAACCAGTCCCCTCTAACTTTCCCAGTGCCGTTTACAAGAACATATTGGTGCTGAAGGGTGCTGATCTGACAGATAAAAAGGTCAAGATCCTTTTTTTTCAGGAGAGACCCTATTAAGATCTGTCCCATCACTGTAGCTCAGACCTGGCTTGATAGACTCCTTTCCAGATGTGAGGAGAGACTTTTTTCCCCATTTTCTCTCTTAATGTTCCTTTAGAAACTGATAATCAAAAGTCAGTTAATAATGACTCTCTTTTTTATTACAGACTATGTCAATCAGGAACTGAATTATAATAGCAATGTTAGATATACTTTTGAAAATTTTATTTACTATCTAATTTTTTCAGTCCCTTTATCATTTCTCTTCACCTAGTGTCTAGGGGGGTGCAGAAGGAGAAGTAGGACTGGGGGACTAGAAATCTGTGGAAAATGACAACTTGGGTGTCCACTTTCCATGGGAAGAAGGTCCCAGAGCAGCACTGGGAGGACGAAGAACTTAGAAGAGGGGCAGTTGATTTTCTTAGGCTTGGATTTGAGTTTTATTTACTTGGTTCCAGAAGACTTTGGGCCTAATTGCTGGGTGATGGCTGTCTCCCAGTATGTGGCATCTCCTCCAAAGTTTCCTGTGGTTGATAGATGGTGAACAGCAATGCTCGCCAGCCAGGAGGAGTTAAGATAGTTATGGGCTAGGTCAGTAAGGTGGTGGCTGAGATCTCCTGTCCAACCAAGAGACTGTAGCGTGTTTTTTTGTTTGGTTGGGTTTTTTTCCCCTTGCTTATCTCTGAGCTGCTATTGCTTCTGGAACAGAGATGAGAATACAAGCCTTAGTAGCGTGATGGAAGAGGCTAGAAGAGAAATACTTTGCAGTCTTCCTGACCCTTAATGGGGTTAACTGCAAATGTGGTTGTGGCTGGGGGAGAGGGGCATCAGTTGAAGAGTCCTGCCCCAAGTTCTCGAGTAACTGCTTCCTATGCTAGCTTTATGATGCTTGTTCTTTGGATTTTTTTAACGTTAAAAGTAATTAAAAAAAAAACCAACTTTTTTTTTTTTCCAGCTCCTACCAGTGCTGGCAAGACTCTTGTTGCAGAATTGCTTATTTTGAAGCGAGTCCTGGAGACTCGTAAGAAAGCTCTTCTCATCCTTCCCTTTGTCTCTGTGGCCAAGGAGAAAAAATGTTATCTGCAGGTACGTAGCATTCAAGGAGGGTAAATTTATGGGTTGTAGTTGTTGGGTCACATTTTTTAAACAGTCAGAAGTTTTTGCATGGATTTGAGGAAAAAAACCTTTGCAGAGTTGTTTCAGAAAGGATTTGCAGATAATTCAAAATTTGCTCTTGTTCTATGTTGGAGATAAAAAAATAAAAGTTTTGGCCAAAAAGGGAAACTTGGAAAAATTTTAAGGAGTCGATTAAAACATTTTATTTCAGCTTTGACTTTTAAAGCATTGTTACTTGCATTTATTCACAGATTTTATAATATACAAACTTTAAAGGAATTTTCTAATTAGATATTGTGTCTGAAAAACTACAAAGGGAAGGTGTCAACATTATCTGAAAGGAACTTTTTATTTTAGCTTCCCTTGGGTGTTCCACCAGAATTTTGTGCCTTTGATTTCACTTTGACTTTGCTGAAAATATGTTCTGACAGAATGTGGTTATGTCTTGGCTTCCTCACCCCAGCTATTTAAAAACAAAATTACAGTGGGAAGAGTCTTTTTAAACAAAAACATTTTTTATTGGAAGACTCTCATATAAAATATTGTTTTTATTAGCTAATGTGTCAAAGTAACAATTACTAAAAACAAATGCAAAACCAGCAGGCATTTTTGTTATAGTTTCTCACCTTTAAGACATTTTGGGTGTTAGTAGATGGTATCTTAGCCTTGCAAATTGCTATGAAATGTTACAAACTGAGTGCAAAAGCTACTTTGTAGTGATTGATAATGGAGATAATGCTTTTGCTTTAATCTTGGAAAGCTAGAGGATTATCGATGCTGTGTTCTACCACTCCTGGCCTAAGGTTTGGCCATAGCTGCACATACTTGAAATCATATGATATCCTACCCATCTGGTTCAAACATTTGTACCTTTTGTTAATGCGGTGTGTCATGTGCCAAAGCTTTAGCACTGCACTAATAAGCCGTGGAAGAAGAGAAGTTGTTGTTCCTTGACTGTCACCTGGGAGATGTGACATCTTTGTGTTTGGGGTCCCACATTTGGCTTTTGCCCCAGATTTCTCAGGAGCAAGGCTTCTTTGTACGTAACTCACTGGTACCATAAACTGTTGCACTGTGTGTTCTCTAACCTTCTTAATAGTAAATGTTTTCATACAAAACAGTGGCCCCCATCTCTTACTCAGTTACGTACACTTTATCCTGCGATGTGTACTGTGTAGCTTCTGCTTTGCAAATAAAAAACAACAGTGGAAAAAAAGTTAGCAGTAACTGCCTGAGCTGTGGCTTTAACCTGATGAGTTGGTATTATAAGTAGTAGAAATTGTGGTTGTAGGATACAGGCTTTTGTGTGGTTCCTACAGGCATTGGTCAGAATTCAGAGTTGTAACCTTGGCATGACATTCTGTATCCTTGAAAAACAGGCCCTGTTTCAGGAGGTGGATGTGAGAGTTGAAGGTTACATGGGAAGCCTGTCTCCTGCTGGACATTTCTCTACCCTGGATGTTGCTGTCTGCACCATTGAGAAAGCCAACGGTCTAATCAATAGACTAATAGAAGAAAACAAAATGGACTCACTGGGTAAAATACTAAGACTTGACCATTGCAGGGGGTAACGTTTATTACATACTCCGAGTACATGTGAAATAATGGGATGCTTAGTATTTGCTCGGTTCTGTATGTGACAGACATGCCACATAGAAAAATTGAGCAATTTTTCTCCTTTCAGAGCAGCTCTGATTTGGATTTAGGAACACAGGACTGTTCTACACAGCTCAGCAGCTGGTTAGTGAGTAGGTAGAAGCTGCAGGTTTAGTTTGTCTGACATGGATGACAATCCATGGACAGTGATTAGCTGCAATAAGCAGTAATTCCCATAGCTAGAAAATGTCTTCTAATTAATGAGATTCAATTAAAGGTCTGGGATATGTTTGAGTTCAGGAATGTATGTATGTTTGTTTGTTCGGGACAGAGATTGTGGCATCCGTTGTTTATCTTCACTTAGCTCAAGAAGGAGGAGGAATTGTGTTTGGTGCTCATCTGGGTCCAGATAAGTGGAATGAATACATAGAGGTCCTCTGAGTAGGCATGGTGTCTAGTAGGCATGGTGACTAGGAGGGCTGTGACATTCATTTCTCTCTAGTTTGCTGAAAAGCCCTCTGTCTTTGTAACATAGACTTCTGGGTCACCGTGGCCCTTATGTCCACTAGATAATGGTGGTATTCATTTAGTGTTTGGGAGAAGATACAAAACCTGAAGAAGCCCTACGTTTCTAGTGCACACTCGGAGAGAGCCATGTTTTCCCAGTCGAGTCAGAAGTTTGTTCTTCTCTTTGTTTCCCTGCTTGATAAAGCTATACCCAGTTATATTTTATACGGTAATCCCTCCCATCTTCAGTCTGGCCTGTAACATAGTTGGTTGCTATTTTACAAATATAAAAATTGGAAAACTAGATGAGTATCAAACTGCTCTGAGACCTCCACCTATGAAACTGCTGTTCCACGTGCATCTGGTGTCATAATATTTTGCAGCATTGTATATCAGAAGAGTTTTTTAAACACAAGGGAAAATAAGGGAAATAAAGCCTTGCAGGTTTTGTCAGAGTGCGAGATCATGGGATAACACATTCACACCTAGATCTATAGTGGTTGGATCACTGTGAATACTTTGGACTGCCAGTGGGCTGAAAGATGAGTGGATGACCGTGGTTGTGCAGCATTTTAAGCTCATTCAAATTAATTTTAAATAGGGTTAGTTTGATCCTAGGTCACCACACCATACAAGCTGTACTGCCAGCATAAAGCACAGAGTGGGGTCATGATGTCCATATTTATCTTGGCTTTGGTGCCTTGGAAGCATACTCAGTATATTAAAATGTGTTGTTTAATGTTATCATCTTTCAGAAGCTAGAGATATGCCAAATCCCTTTGGTTGGTACCTCCATTCCATCCCTGCAATTTGTTAGGCTCTCTTAAGATGAATGTACCTGAGAAGAGTCATATAAGTATAACCAGCCAAATGATTACAGGATTTGAGTTTGAATATGTGTCCTCCACACCGATACCTCCTTAAAGCATGATATTTTTCTTTCACCATTTGAAAACACCTTTGCTACAACCCTCCATTTCTCTTGTGCCCAATATGACTGTGTAAGTGAATAAGGGTAAAAATGTTTTTTTTTCTTTATATGCTTATTTGAAATTAATTTTTAAATTAAATTTGAGTTTAAAAATCATCTTTAAAGTAAGAAATTGACAAATTTTCTATTTGGAGATAAATTTTCATAAAAGCTGCAAAATACAGGCAATGAGCTGAAAATGCCAGTTTAACTGTCACCTAAAGCAAGCTTGTCTGAAACTGCAAGATTGTACCTCATTTTCTAATTAATTCTAAATTTAGACCAGTTCGTAACAAGGGTGTTTTATCTTTTGCGACGAGTTATTGGGAGATGACTGCAGTTCTGGCTGGATTCCATCTCAAGCTTGAGCTGTTCTTTTTGTTGATGTCAACCCCCTGCTGATAGCTCACAATGCCTTTGGAAATTGTTGAGAGGAACTCAAATCCTTTGCCTGGCAGAGTTCTCTTTGCTGTATGAAGCAGTTAAAAGCAATTTGGTGTTGCTAATTATTATATAAGGTATGTCAGTTTTGAACATCCAGGTACACAGGAGATGATATTCCTCTTGTTGTCCAGCCTCCTCACGCTGATGCTCAAGAAATTTTTAGGAAAGCGGATTAGAGAAGAATCTGCTGCCTTCTCAACGTGTCAGCTGGGAATGGATTTGTAATGTGCTGTTGTGATACTTAACTTGTTTCTTTTCTTAATTTAAACTTGAAATCAAAACATTACTAGTTTAATTGTATTTTAAAAAAAATTAAATCCTCCCTGCCTGACATTCAGAACTTTTTAGTTTTAAACTAAACTGTGGACTTAAAGCAGCCTAGTAAACATGTATGATAGCTCTCAGGTACTTTTTAGTAGGGTTTTTTTCCAGCAGTCTTCTAGGGATACACCTAATTTGCAGACAGAAAGAGGAGACTGAGGCTAGCCTTATTTTCAGTAGCAATGCAGTATGGTGAAATTCTCTCCCCACTTGCACTCCTGAGTTGCTTGTTGAGTAGAAGATACCATTGCATGCTGGGATCTGTAGTCCTCCTTGGCTGCAATTCCATTTTAAGATGAGGATAGCTTTGTGAAAAATTCTGGTTGCCTGATTGCTCCTGCTGTGTTATCCCAGTGGGTGTGTTCTGAGCACGGCCTGACTAGAGGAGAGCACTGGGCATGTGTGACAGTCGGGTCTCGCCAGCTTGCAGACTGCCAGGGTAATACAGTACGCAGGTTTAGCGTGGGTTTGAATATTTATTATAGCTGAGTAGCAGCAGAAGGTATAGAACAAGTGGCCCATACGACAAATAGTGGCATTCCCTGTGCTTTGGCCTGTAGGTACCACTAGTGTTCTATGCTTCATTTCAGGAAGCAAAATGTACTGCTGCTTGGCACAAAGACTGGAAAGATAACTTGTATGAATTTTGCTTCGGTAGGTATCTGATCGCACTGTCCTGTCTCAGCTGCTGGAAGAATTGAGGCAAACTGTTGTACGGGGAAGCAGGAAGAAGCTTTTTCTGGTAGCTGAATAAATATCAATTTGGTGACCAACGAATTACCATTTTTTACAAGTGAGCACAGAATAGAGGAAGTACAGGAAGACAGAGGAGCTGGATGGGTGGGAGTTTGTAAAAGAGGCTGATGAAGCAGCGCAGCACTCTTTTCTAACTTAAGTGGCTTGAAAGAGAAGGGGGGAGAAAACAGACGGAGAGAGAAGGAACATACGTAGGAAGGAGAGAAAAAAAATGAGAAGGAAAAATAGCATTGGAACAGATAATATAAGGTCACATTTGTCCTTAAGCTCCTGCTATTTTAGCTGCACCAGCAAGGTATTACATAGCTGCACCGAATATGAAAAAAGAATTCCACAGCAGCAGAACTAATGAAGCTTGGTGTCCTCCGTACCCTGGTTTTTTTGGTTGTTTGTTTTTTTTTTTTTAACCTTCCTTCAACCTCTTCAATGTTCCTGTGACCCTGTGAGCTGGCCAAAAAGGGTACATACCACTGCTGGTTGGGATGTGTGCGGGGGGTGTACTGGGTGGCTGAGCTGTAGTGGCTCTATGTTTTCTCCTCAGGGGAGACCCTAATCTGGTCTGTTGTCTCCAGCTGCTGATATTCAGAAAGCTTTTTAGACATTATTCTTTTCAGTATTTCTACACATCTTACAAATTTGATGGAGGTGGCTAATAGATTAAAAAATCATTTGCAGGAGGTAGGATGAGAACAGAGCAGTCATGTAAGGATTTTTTCATTAGAAAGCCAAAGCTAAGTAGTAGAGCTCATTCAGGTTTGGTTAATGAGAAAAGATATAATAGGAAGCAGGCTATGCCAGTGTAATTACATCTGCTCTAGGGTTTTTTTTCTGACATTACTGTATTAGTAAGGAGTAATGTTTTTAACTAAGACAGTGATGTCAACAAAACTTTTGACTAGCTCATTTGGGTGCTGGAATGTTCCTTTCCAGATATTCTGAGGCCTGGGGTTTTTTACTTGCAAAAAGGTTAGAGTACAGATGCTGCAATACTGTTTTGCGTGGTGGCCAGACTAACAACTCAACCTATTTATTTTTATTTTTTTAAAAGCTGATCACGTGTGTGTGAGGTTGTGGGGGGTGTGAAATGTTACGAAATTTCTCATGATTTGTCTCTCTCAGAAGAATCAGTGACAGAAGGAAGCCTTAGCGGTGTTGGTAAGCGCAGCTGGATTTGTGAATATAAATTTCAGTTCATCATGTGGAATATAAAAGGATCGAGGCTATCTGTTCTTAGTTTGGAGTTTTGTCAGATATAACCTGAGTGCTTCTCTTTATCAGGAGTGGTGGTTGTGGATGAGTTGCACATGCTGGGAGACTCTCATCGTGGATATCTGCTGGAACTCCTTCTGACCAAAGTTAGATATGTTACAGAGAAGGTTGCAAAACGGTGGGTAGACCAGGATGTCTGTGTTTTAATGCTAAATTGTGGATGGCTCTAAATATTTCATTCTCTGGGTGATTGGAAATTTGGGTTAGCTCCAGGGTTTTTATGAGAGTGATGACCTAAACTATTTTGGTTATTAAGGTCTCATCACACCATCTCTCAGGGGCCTGCCGTTGTAGTCAAAACCCCTTTTCCTCATGGTTTTCAATTTATGTGCTACCTTGGGATTTGTTCTCTCAGGAAAAGAAACAAGGCTGAAGCTTTCATTTACTTTTTTAGCCTATTTACGTTTTTTTTCAAAACTTTGGATTTCTTTTAACATTTTTGCTAGCAGACTGGCCCTGCTTAATTTTTCAGTGTTTCATGGAATGGGGTATTTATTTTACCGAAACATTCAGGTACTGTGGAAGAGTGGGCATGCTGTTAACTTGTCAAAGGTGAATTGATCAGAGGACTTAAGAGGGTGTGCCAGTATCCTGCTTAGCAGCACTGCTCGGGATGATCTGTGGTTTTGGTTGTAACATGCGATAGCCTAGTGGTTGCATGGTTTCTTGCCTTTAGCCCAACTGATTGGACACTGGGGAACAGATTAAATGTTTCAGAACAGCATTAGAAGCTTTTAAGAATTCAGTATCTAGATCCCCAGCACCAAACTGTCCAGCTGCTCCATAGTGCCTGAACACAGGCAAATGGAGGAGATGGTGCATCAGTCTTCTTAACCTTTATTGGTGGTGCTGAGAAGAGAGTCAAAATCACTGTTCCCTTAGCACCAAAAGCCAGATTTTCTCTGCCGCTTCCTGTCCTGTGAGTCGTACCGGTGCTGGGCTGAGCACAGACTACCTATTTATTTCTGGGGGCACTGCCATTTCTACATTGGCTCTCCACCAGACATTTTACCCAGTATTTCGCATCCTGATTTCCAGGATCCAGCAATGTTCTGGGTCTAATCTGGGTCTAATCTGACTTTTTCTCACGGTCTCCCCATAAGTCCTGGAAGCCACTACACTTCAGAGCAGCGTGAGTGGCTTTGCCACTCCTTTTACCTTGGCTTATCATGTAGCTGCAGCACAGATGCAGGACCGCTCTCTTGCTTTCCTCCCTTGCATTGCAGAAGCAGGAAGGAGGAAACATTTGTCGGGGAAAAAGGGACAAAGGGACAGATGCGTCAAGGAATGTTCCTGGGAAGACACAATACTTCAGCCTTTGCCATATAGGTGCTGGAGCCTGGATCCTGCATCTCTCCGTCATGGTCAAGGTGTCGGGGGTTCCCCATACCACTTACTGACATGAAGGAGGTGGCCATTATTTTTGTTTTGGAATCCACTTGGGATTCCTGGAGTTGAAGAACACTTTTTCTCTCAAACATCTTCCCAAGTCTGGGGTGGGTTTTTTTTGTTGTTGTTTTTTTTTTATTTATTTAATGGAAGCCACTTTGTCCAAATTCTTTAAACACTATCCAGCCTGACCTATTATCAGAATAAGCAGTGATTTTAAGAGCTTTTTAAGTGGTTAGGGGGATGTCCCACTGAAGTATAAGGCTGTGTCTTTGTGCCAAGAGAATGTTCTCTGATGGCTGTTGCCAACGTGGATGCCCTTGCTTCTTCATGAGGCTTTTGCAGACACAGCCAGAATTCTGCAGCAGATTTTTCTCCTCCCCAGTCAAAGAGAGTGTTGTGGAACTGGTATTTTCTTAATCCTTGAAGGTCAAAAGCTGCTTCAGGGGGGCAAATCTGCAACCTAGATGGGGAAGCTGTACCAGCAAATGCTTGAAGAGCTTGGGTAACAGGGTCTGCCTCTCCACATCTTCCTTATTTCTGTCTTGTCAGTGACTGTCCTTTTTTACTCCAGCTTCTGGGTAGTCTTCTTTCCTCTGTGTTGTCTTTGCCAGGATTACCAGGATCTTCCAAGAAGGTTTCTGAGCTCACATTGATTTGTCAGACCTTTCTCTTTTTTAAAGTCTCAATTTATGGCTCAGTGCAATGCAAATGGGTAGTTTTTAAATGTAGGCTTAGGAGCATTAAAAAAACGGTATTGTGTGGATGTAAAAGCCTGAATTAAAATATACATTTGGGTACCTCAATTAATGGTTTGTGTTTTCAAGTCTGTTAAGGGTCCATTAGTTCTCGCTACCTTCAGTGGAAGCTGCTGTTCAGCACTTTCAGAACTGAAGCTGCTTTCTTCTTTGCTGAACTAAGGGCTTTGGTTCCCAACTCTAGGAGGACCTTAGTCTAGTATTATTTGTCCTGAAATTGAAACAAAGGGAGGTGTTTTAATTAAGGCATTTAATCTTAGAAAGACTGCATTCCTTTATTTTCATGATCTTGTTAATGGCAAGGAAATAGTTGATTTATTTACTTGTTTTCAGTTTCTCCAAATATGCAGTTAGGTTATGGCTGTTGTTACCTAAAGAAGCTCAAAGTTTAGGTTCAAAATGATAAAAAGTTGAATTATCTTGTTATCAATGCATGACCTGACATTGTGTTTGCTAAAAGTAGAGTATGGCTTGTTTCTTTTTCAAGAAGTTGAAAAAAATAGCTTTGCACTTTAGACCCCAGAAGCAAGTAGATTGGGTTAGTTTTTCTGAGTGCTGTTTTCCAGAACAGTAGCCTGGGTTGTCACTAACTTCCATTTTCTTTTAACCACTTCTAGACAAGCGAAGATGACCGGTCCCGGTTTTGGTGGGATACAGATAGTAGGCATGAGTGCTACCCTCCCTAACTTGGGACTCCTAGCCTCGTGGTTAGATGCAGAGCTATACTGTACGGATTTTCGCCCTGTGCCCCTCAAGGAGTGGGTGAAAATTGGCAGCAACATTTATGATTCCTCCATGAATTTAGTGCGAGAATTCCAGCCCAAACTTCAGCTGAAGGTAACAAAACTGAGCAGTGGCTTTGGGATAACATCTTTTGTACAACTAAAGTTAAAAAGACAGCTACTGGTACGTTGGGTTTTTTTTTTTTAATAGATGACATGCCCGACTTCATTGTTTACTTCAGAGATTATATGCTCAAACTAAGGTCAATTTTTTTTTGCCTTCTACTGATTTAAACAAAAAACAGAACAAAACACACTTATACTCATGAAGTTCTTGAAGACAAAGTTGCCTTTGCAGCTATCTTGTTCTGAGCACTTGACAGGTATAGAGAGTTTGATTTTCCCCTTGCCCACTACCCTATCTTGTGTCCTGGAATCTACTTCATTTTCATAAATGAAGGTAAATATTTCCTGGTTAGGCCAAGGAATTTGCATTAATCATTGGGAGAATATATTTGCATTAAAATCTGGTATCGAACCTGCTTATGTTAAACTGCTAAATATCTAATTTTTTCAGTGATTAGAAGGCAGATGTCCATCCTGATTCTTCTGAATCTGTTTTCAGTATTTAGTCCTTTTGCACACGTGAAAAGGATATGAAAAGTGAAGAGTAACGTACTGTAATGATTTGGAAGAACCGGATGGGTAGAAATGGGAAATTCGCACTTCCTACTTGTAGGTTCCTTTTCTGTGAAGTCTTTGAAGGGTGAATTCTCTCCCCAGTCCTTTCAATTGCTTTGTGTGATACTGGTGTAGTAGTTGGACAATGTGGATTGAATGCCAACAATATTTTGGAATGTTTTGCACCCAGTTCTTGTTGTGCGCAAACGTTCTGTTGGCAGTAGCATGGTGGCACAGCGAAGAAGAAGGATCCTAGAAACAAAAGGAAATGTTTGTGGCAACAATATCTGGAAGCTTGCTTTTATGTGCTCATATTGAGAAGGTGATGTTTCATCTCCTTTTCTGGATATTTTTTGAAGGAGTTGCTTTGGATAGGTACTAAATTAAGTGAGAGAAAGAGCTAAACTAGGCTTATGACTCAACAGTTTAAGGGAGTTGGCTTATTTTATAAGACTGGGTGATCCTCTTGGGCTTGAAATCTATCAGTGGACCTTCAGACTTCTGTTCTGTGCCTCAGACTGGACCAGGAAAGGGAACTCGATGACCTCACCACTTCTGCTGAATTTGGCTGAATCCTTACTGAGCTTTTGATGTGTATATGCAGTTCCTGCCATTGCTCCCCTGTTTTCGTTTGCATTTCAGTGCTTTTTATTTCTCACTGTACGCCTACCTTTTTTCTCTCCCTCCTTTGGCCTGCTTGCTGCAAGGGAATCTGGCTTAGCCAAGCAAAGCAGATCAGCTGCAGGAACTCTCCTAGGATCTTAAAACCAAAAAGTCAAGCTGTAAAAGTAGGATTTTGCATGCACATCCATATAAGTATCCATAAAAGCCTTCCACTGTTCTCTGAACACTTGCAGTCTTTGGTCAGCAGTGCTTGCTGGGTACATCTTATTGGGGATGCTCAGACTACTACATCTCATGCTTTTAATTCAGACATCCTAATTGGTAAGTCTTCCTTAGTTGTTGTAGAGGGATGTTTTCCCTCGGAGCTCTTCCTAGTTCTTCCCCACTGCTGTTAGCCACGATGTGGAGGTTGCAGTGATTTTTTTTTGTGCACTGTGTGGCCTTCATTCAGAAACAGATTTGTGAAAGCAAGACGTAAAATCCTAGATTTATTTGTGGTCACACTCAGCAATGTGGTCACACTAGTGCTCGGACTTCCTAAAGCAAGATAGAAACTAAGATAACAGTGCTCCATCTTCTTTTTTTGCTCCTCTTTCTGACTTGAAGTAGAAGATTCCTACTATGACACAGAAGAATGATAGCATTTACAAACCCCATTCAGTGTGAGAGTGCATTGAAAATATTTTGTCTCAATTCAGGGAGATGAAGACCATGTTGTGAGCCTGTGTTATGAGACTGTTTGTGATGGCCATTCAGTCCTGCTTTTCTGTCCATCCAAGAACTGGTGTGAGAAGCTGGCAGACATCATTGCCAGGGAATTCTACCATTTGCAACAGGCTGAGAGTAAGAGAAAAGTAGTTAATAGAAGACTGTAGTATACACGGTGCCTTTAATGAAAATTAATTTTAGTAGAAACTATAAAAATATTTTCTCTCTCAAGGTTCTACAAAAAACTCAGCCCTTTCCCCAGTTGTTGTGGACAGAGAAGAGATTGATGAGGTTCTGGATCAGCTAAAGCGTTCTATCTCAGGTCTGGACTCTGTGCTCCAACGTACTTTGCCATGGGGAGTGGCATTTCATCATGCAGGTATTCCTGAATTTCTTGGTCTTGAATTCTGTAATGGTCAAGTCCTATGGGTTCTTTTTGCTGTAGTTACCAGCAATTTACCAGCTGCCTTTTGAAGCCTTCTGTAGTTTATGACTGAATTAAAATGCTTTGAGAATCTCATGGTTAGAGGTAAACTTGAAATTCTTTTATCGTGACCAAAGACTTTAATTCACTAATTGTTATGATAAGTCTTCTCTCTGTTGTGTTGGATAACAGCAATTTTTTAAATAAACTTAATTTTTTTTTGTGAAATGCCTGAAAAATTAGCTGATTTGCAGCCCAAGCATTTTCAAGTTGTCCCTAAAGCTGCCAGAGTATTTCAGAGCAATTTTCTTCAACTTAATACTGAAATAGATAAGTAAATAGAAGTAGCATAACAATGAAAATAAAAATAAAAGGAGCATGTGCCGCGAACACTTATGGCTAGATATTTTATATCTTAACGTAAGTAGGTAATACTGTATGTCACCTGTTGATCCACTGAGAGAAAGGACTGACTCTAGAAGAGAGAACAGTAGCTATGGCATTGAATATGTAGGGGGAATAATTCCAAATGCTTATAGAAAGTGGATTTCTTTTTCAAGAACAAGATTAGCCTGAAGCCCTCAAGGAAATGTAGAAAGATACATATTAGACCTGTAACCTAGAATGGAAATAATGAAGAAAGATTCCAGGGTCAGGATGGCAAATGACTAAATCCTAGTTCCCTACTGTGTTTGTTGCATCCAGTTTTCTTCTTTTTAATTAATTAATTAATTTATTTATTTATTTACTTGCAGTGCATGTAGATATGTAGTAGATAGTTGTTCATCTTGCTACAATGCGTACAAGCACCTTAGAAAAGAGAGTTTATAACTATTATTGTCAATTGAATAATGAAAACTTAATGGTGAAATTTTGCTTCACTTATGGTTCCAAAGAAGTTAACTGAGGTAACGTTGCGACTCTAGTTCCTACCACTGAATGGTGAATGTTCATTAAGTTTGTTTGTTCTTCCTCTTGCTTGACAGTAATATTATTAGCTCTTAAATGCAGTCTCACCGTTACCGGGTTTGCTAAAAGTCATGTCTCCTCAGGTCTTACTTTGGATGAACGGGACATCATTGAAGGAGCCTTTCGCCAGGGCTTGATTAGAGTCCTAGCAGCAACCTCCACGCTCTCGTCTGGAGTGAATTTGCCTGCACGCCGAGTAATTATACGAACTCCCATGTTTGGTGGCAAACTGCTGGACGTTCTCACTTACAAGCAGATGGCTGGAAGGGCTGGCAGGAAAGGAGTAGACACAGAGGGTAAGCAGAGGCTTTATTAACATTCTCTAAGAACGGTGTTAACCTGATTAAATCCAGGGCAGTGCTTTGCAATTAGTGACTAATCATGATGAATTCCTTTGGTATTCAGTATGATTAAGTTAATCAAGATGAATTTGTTTGGTATTAATGGAGTAAAAATTGTAATTCCCAGGGGATTCTTTTCACTGCATTAGACTTATTTTGGTATTTACATGTCAGTTACTTCAGGAACCGGCTATTCTCTCCTTTGAATTCTTGTTAGCTTCTAAGGTTCTGTTCATTTGCCTTAATTCTGTGATCCATGGTCAGTTTACTAAAGTGTTTACAGTTTCAGTGAGAAAATTTACAGTAAACTCTCATTGGACAGGCCTAAAATGTAAGAAATGCGTTTAAAGTCTACAACCGTAATTTGACAAACTTCTTCTATTGTCTAAAGGTCTGATTTGGATTTATTAAACTTCCACTAAACTTAACCATAACTTTTATGGGTCTTGAATGCAGTAATGCGACAGAGAGACAGGGAAATATGAACAGAAGTTCATAGATAATACGGTGTCGTCATGCATGCAGTGGCACTGATTGGTGTTCAACAAAATAATCCTGCCTGTTATTTTAATTTGCGACGGAAATTTATCTTCATGGAAGATATTTGGAAAAATTGTATTGTACAAGCATAAACACCGTAGAAAATAAGAAGTTCAACAGAAGCGGGAAGTGCAGTTTGCCCTACTGATGGTTTGATTGGTGCTTGCTGGAACCCTATGTAAGCAGACTGTTCTTACATTTAACTTTCTATTTTTGCCAGAGTAGCATAGCAACAGAGCGTTTTATGACCTATATCTCTGGGAGCTATCCCTATGTGTTAAAGAAAAGGGCAGCTGCATGCTGTATTTTGAAATTTTCCAGACTTTGTCACTTGAGTGTAGCTGGCAGGTGTAAAATTACGTTATTCCTTGAAGTTTCTTTTTTTTTTTTTTTCCCCTTCAAGTTACAATAATTAGTACCCTTTTTTGACAGTTCTGATGTGACTGTGTTTCGCACAGTAAGCAGTTGATTTTATGCTGATGAGCTTCATGAATGTACCATTTTTTTCCACTCCACAGAGTCTTTTGGATGAGAACATTAAGCTACATTACCAGCTGCTACTCTTTCACAGAGTAGGGAGACTGGAGGACAGCAACTTCAGCTGGAAAAAATGCCTTATGTGGATATGAAATTCAGCTGACAGACAGAAGATAAATGCTGTAGGGTTGATTACCTTCCCTTCCCCTCTCACCCAATATCGTAGTGTTGGATTGTCTCAGGTTTTGATTTTTTAAATTTTTTTTCTGATTTGATGGAAGTTTAAAAACATCATTTTAGAAAATGAAATTGGATTATTTTTGCATTCATCAAAACTGTCATGTTCCCAAGGTGAAATAGGTAAAGCTGTTCAATATCGGTGAACAAAATCTAGAAATATAATATGACCTTTTTTGCTTTTAATGGGGTTTTATGCCTAGATAGCCAGAGTCTTCTGGTGTTTGTCTATTCTGATGCTAACCTAGCTTCGCCGCTCATCTGAAATGTTCAAGAAGGGATCTTAGAACAGCTTAGAACAGCTTAATTCCTTTTTTTTTTTTTTTTTTTTACTGTTTGCTAGGTTGCAGTTGCAGTTACTGGCTTTAAGTTCTCAGTGGCATCTTGGGAAAGGGTTTCCTCCAAATCTTGAATGACTGTCAGATAACGTAGAGCCAAGTGGATACCCATCTTCTGTTAGTTTTACCACACTGAAGAGTCAAAGTTTTCAGAGGGAATTGGAACCTTGTAAATTGTAAATGAGTGAACGTTCTTTATTGCTAAAATGAAAATAAGCTTTGCTTTCACAAAGCAATGCTTACAGGCAGTTTATCTTCTGTACTCTCAGCTCTGGCAAAAGTACATGGTCAACAGATGTCAAAAGTTTCACACATCCTATGAGCATGTCTTTCATCCTGTAATTCATTTATGTAATCATGTTTAAACTGTATTTGGTTACTCACCTACACTGCATTTGTGGTATTTATTCTGTTCATTAAATTTAAGTGCAGTTGTGTTTTCATTACTGAATTTGCTAATTACTGTAGCATTACCACAGCTACGTTTTTATCATAACTTAACGTTCCTAGGATCTTACTAAGATACCCACTACCAAAATTACCTCGTGTCCAGACTATGTGCACTTAAATCTTAACAAGTTATCATAAACCTATCGTGATATTTACTGTCCAGCTAATCCAAATCTAATGCTCTCTTCTTAGTCAAAGGCAAGCTTGTCCTACCCATAATTCATTTATCATGTGCCAATTGGCAAAGCTTCTAACTAGCTGGGTCTCCCAGGGACCGAGTTTCTCTGTAATGGCTTTGTTGAAAAAAATCTTTATGTGACCACTGCATTTTCCATGGGTAGTCCGTACTATTATCTCATTAAAGGAATTGACACATTATTTTTATTTTTGTTTCACGGCTCTGGGACTTTTTTTGTCTCCCACAGAATTCAGTAGTTAGGGATTAACTTAACAATGTGTGATAGAGAATTTTAAGGTAAGGTATATTTAGATGTACTTTCAGCGGAAACCATTCAGGATACTTAAGATTTTTTGTGTGTGTGTATATATATATGCTCATATGAAAGTTCAGAGGATGCATAGTTACTTAGATTAATAACTTTGGATTTCTGAATTACTTTGATATCTGTGTTATTTCATTTTGGGAGTGGAAGCTGGTTGACTTAATACAAACTGTCAAAGTGCTGTGCAGCTTTTATGTTTTCATCTTGCTTTTGAGAACTTTTTCAGCAGAAGAAAAATTAATGCCACTGTGTATTATGGTTCCAGTCAATTCCAGAACAAGAAGCGAAAAAAAAAGTTCAGCAGCAAAGCAGATGCACATAAAGGCTGTGGAAGCTCCTTAGCTGCTTTGGCAAGACTCTGACCAGCCTTAATGTAACTTTGAAGTTTGTCCTGCTCTGAGCTTTCAGTTCTTAAGTATTATGCATCTGTGGAGTTCTTACATAGCAATGGATATACAGTGTTCAAGGTTGCAAAGGTTTTTATCTTTTTTTTTTTTTTATTCAGCTTTTAAAAAAATACCTACAGTTTTCCATTCCAATAATATGTCCTTGATGAACTGGATGTAGCTATTACAGTGCTAAGATGCAATACTAAGGTCATTAATGTTTTTCTTTGTTTTTCTTTTTTTTTTTTTTTTCCTTTTCTTGTAGGTGAGAGCATTTTAGTTTGCAAGCCCTCAGAAAGATCAAAAGGAGCTGCTCTGCTTCAGGGATCTCTCAAGCCTGTTTGCAGTTGTTTGCTTGGAAGAGAAGGGGAAGGTGTTGCTTCTAGCATGAAAAGAGCAATACTTGAGGTACAGGACACATGGAGAGGAATTAGAACTGTGCTTGCACACTTGTAATTGTAGGATGGTTTCTTTTGTGACACCATCAGATGTTTTCTGTGCACCTTCTTTTTCTTCTGTTTCCTCTCTTGTCAACCCAAGCAGCTTCAGAAGAAAATTACTTGGGTCTGCCAGCTTGCTTCACTATTCAGCATTTTGTTTGGCATGTTTCAGTCTCTGCCTGCTGCAGATCAGGATGTGAGCACAGTCAAACAAGAGTTACTAAGCTTTGCTTTTGCATTTAGCTATACTTAAACTGCAGGCATAAATAAGTGTAATTCTCAAACTTCATGTGGCCTTACAGTCTTAACTGGGGGATGCTTGTACATTACTGATCCCAGAGGCTTTGTACACTGAATTAGGCCATAATGACATTTGTAGAACCTTGTAGAGTCCCTTATTTCGCCCCTCAACTTATCTACCTCTTTTGTACAGAAATGATTGAAATTTTGTAAATACATTTTTGGTGAACAAACAGGTGTGGTACCCCATTCACTCCCTGTAGCCTGCCCTCCTCTGTAGGGTTCCTACAGGAGTAAAAAGGACCAAAAGGGTGTTATTCCACATAGGTGAGCTTATCTCCTTTTCCAGAGTTGCTTTTGGGCTTGAACTGAGCTTAGTCTTTTTAAATACCGTTCATTTGCTGTACTAGTCCTGCTGTCTTTTGTGAAAACTGCTGTGATACTTAGCACTTGGTTGTGATTCCATAGGTTTTGAATTTTTAGCAGACCAATGGAATTTCTAAACACATTTTTCTACATAAAAGCTATTAAAAGATGGGGATTCCTTTCTGGTAGTGTTGCTTTATAACATGAAAAAAATCCATTGGAACCATGAAAGAAAGTTTTTAGTTAAACACCTTGCTGTCTCAAGGAATACACATGAATGACTCACAAGGAGAAAGCAGTTATGTGAAAAACAAAGCAAAAACAAAATCCAAGGGAAAAAAAGAATCACTCAATCAGGAAAACAATGATGAGGTATAGCATTCACATTTATTAAGAGAAAACTTCAATATGCTGAAGAGCCTTGGGGGAACTACTCCTTCCTGGTTTGCTTTTTGTCTTCAGAAAATTGCAATTTGTGTTCTAACCTTTTAAAAGTATTTCACAATGTTGGCTAAGCAAAATGCCTAGGTCTAGTCTCAAATCTAAATTGCTACTATGTGTATGTCCACTATCAAAATAAGATTTTATAATTCATTCTTTCCCATAGCTTAGTCCTCTTCTACCTAAGGTGTCTAACTTCTTGCCAAGAAAAGGCCTTAAAAGCTGGCAGTTGCTTTGCCTCATGTTCCCCTCTCGTACTGGTTCTTTAAAACCATCTGACGGATGAGTCTTTTTGATTCTCTGATCTGATGTTCCATCCTACTGCTTCTCTGGCAATATGAACAAGTAGTTTTCTTCAACAGATCATAGTGGGGGGAGTGGCCAACACTCCAGAGGACGTGCAGACCTATGCTTCTTGCACTCTTCTTGCATCCAGCTTGAAAGAAAGCAAGTGGGGAAATGAGAAAGCAGAAGACAAAGTGCAGACTGGACCTATCGAGGCTTGTGTGGCATGGCTGCTGGAAAATGAATTCATTCAGATTCTGGACTCCGGTGATGATGCGAAAGGTAACATTGGTGTTCTTCCCAGTGACTGCAGTTAGCAGTTTTGGATCGGTAAATCTTCTGCAGCTGGGTAGATGTTCAATGTAACTTTATAATGAGGACTTCTGTGCATTTTTGCTTTTATTTTAAAGAATCATGTGTATCAAGAATTTTTTAGCTTTCTGGAGGATGTCTTTATACCTGCTTTAACATTTTTTGCATGCACATGTTCTTCTTTGAAGGCCTCTCTCTGCACGTCACCTCTAAGACTGATGCATCCTAGTCTACAAATTCCCAAAGTATCTTTAAACAAGGCTTACTTTTACTACAGGATTTGTCCACATTAACTGCAGACTATGATTTTTGTGTTTCTGAAGAAGAACCTGTACATTCTAAAAGAGTGCAAGTCTCTTCTGGAACTGCTTGGTGTACATGGATGCACTTTTTCCTGATTTTTGGCTATTTTCTTAAAATGACTAAGGATGAGACTCTTACAGTAATAGTAAGAACCCCCATTACAGGTTAATTTGTATCTCTTTTTAATAAAAGATGATAGGTGATATTTAGTGTTCCTAAGAAAGAAATAGGCAAAATGATTACTCCTGGGCAGGGTGGCAGATGGGATTCCAGTGGTTTTTGTTCAAATAGCTATCACAACTGTTAGTCCTCATAGTTAGAGGGATCCAAACTTGTGATCTGACCTCTGAAAAAGTCTAGTTTAGACTTAGGCAGGTCTAAACCTTTTATTGTTTCCATTTTCCTGTCTTCAGAATGGAGAAATATGCTATTTCTTCTTGAAAAAGCAGTTGGGAAAAGTTAGTAGAATTGATATCTATAAAATACATTGCAACCTGAAAATGAGTTATAAACTTGCATTTAAATGTTTCTCTATGTGTTTTTGTTTTTTGTTTTTTTGTTTTTTTAAACAGCAAAGGTTTATCATCCAACACATCTTGGCTCAGCTACTCTTTCCTCTTCTCTTTCACCAACTGAAGCCATGGAAATCTTTGCTGACTTGCAGCGAGCTATGAAAAGCTTTGTTCTGGAGAATGATCTGCATATTGTCTATTTGGTAGGTTCCTCATTCTGTGTTTTGTATTTTGTACTGCCAAAACTAAGTAAAGGAGAGAAAGCACAGTGCAGAGCTCTTGAGGGCTCCATGAATGTAGAGGGGTTTTTTTGTGCTTTGCTTAGCTCATCCTTCATGAAGAAAAGTTTCTAAATTGAATGTTCTTCAGAACTAGTCTGTTCCCATAGTGTCTATTATGTAGGCAGGTACTGCTTGTCCACTTAAGCCCATTTTTGTAACTCCTGACTTCGAAAGATTTGAGGACTTTTTAAGTTTTGTGTGTAGGATAATGGTAATTTTTCTGAGACTCTTGAAGTTGATGAAAAAAATTGGTTTTGTTGTGTGTTTGAGATCAGCAGGCTGCATCTCAGATTACTTTTGGAGCCTCAGAAAACTTCTGAGGTTTTAGCATCCATTTTGCCTACAAAAAAAGCCTCAGAGAACTACACTGCTTTCTTCCTATGGGTAGGCCTTTCTTCAGTCCAGTACAGTGAAATTCATCTCGGATTTAGTTTACTTGCCTGGTGATGCTGCCAGGGCTAAAGGAAAGAGCATGTTAAGTCTTTTGAGGGGAAAGTGTCCCGAAGTTTGTCAAGATTTATGTGTATGTACACGTAAAAAGTATATTTAAAGACCTTTGGAGAGGAAGCCATGAACCTGTGAAGATAGTGAGGAAACAAGACGGAGTTTCAGTGAACATCTTAGGATTCACAGCTGCCAGAGGCCCATCATGCAATCATCATTTGAAATTTGACAGTCATCTTTAGCATCCTTAAGTATATTCTCTTTACTAGGCTGATACATCAAAGGCAAAATTTGGGCATTATGCCTGAAAAAAGAAGTTCACTCCAAGGAGAATATGCTTGCGGTTACAGGAGTTGTTGAGCTAGGGGACAGGTGGTGGTAAGAGACTGAGGGTGCCTGTCTCTGCTTGCTGTGTTCATTAACCTAGTTATTGGCTGATACTGATAGATTTTTTTTGGATCTATTAGTGTCCCATATGTACCCATATCTCTGCTTTAGAGGACCACATTATATTTTGTTCTATTTCTGCTAGGCAAAGTGGACTGTTTTGTGTCATGCACCAGTGAATTTTTTTCCATGTTTGCATCTCCAAAACAGAAAGAAAAGGATGAATTTTGTTCACATTCTGGGGTAGAGACAGTGATGGCAATATATTTTTTTTTACCCTGTACTTTTGAATTGCAGCAGTTTTTCTAATGTTATTTTAAATAAAATACACGGTTGAACAAAATGTTCTTGAGATTCTCTTCTACTAACCTAGCCTAAAACACTTTCTTGCAAGTCTGTTCATTTTCAAGGCCGAAGGTTTCTTTAGTTTTGGTAGCTTTTTTTTTTTTTTTAAATAATTGTTCTCCATGTGTTCCTTATGGGCTACAGGGAAATTGTCTGCTATCATGCTTTTTAATTCTCTTAGGCTTGACTCTTTTACTTGTACAAATATGAGACTGAATTCCAAGACCTTGTATTTTAGGAAAGTTGATTAAAACAAATAAGTATTTGCTAGGCTAGGAAAAGCGTTTCCTTTAAAGGAAAAAAAAGGCAACAAAAACCCAACAAACAACAAAAGACAATCTCCCACCTTAATAACTCTTGTTCTTCTCAGCAGATGAAGGGGACATGGATGATTTACAACTATGCAGGCATCTGGTATTCTGTGTTATGTTAAATGCTCCCCAACAACTGTTAGTTATTTCAAAATAATTAGTCTTGTACATCAATACGGATATGAAGACATTTTGTCTCATACTGGAACTGATTCTGAACAGAATTGTTTTTTTGTCTAAAGGTGTGTGAATGCTCAGGATGGCTTTTTCGTTAGTGTTAATAAAAGCTGAGATTTCTTGTACTCTAGGTAAATGAGAGCTTCAGCGAGTTCTGGCAAAATCTATGTTCCATCCTGCTTTATCAGATGCTGTGGCAGTGGTTAGTGTGGTTGCTAGTTGTTTTAAGAGGCTGATAGATATCTGTCAGTTTTGTTAAAAAAAGAATAAAGTTTTGTTTTGTTAAAGGAGAATGAAGATGCAGCTTAAAAATCTTCTAGTGGCTTGGATTTAGGGAGCAATCTGACAAAGATTCCAAATTGTTTAATCATTAGACTACCCATATGAGTCAGATCTCATCAGTACAAATATTAAAAAAACTAGGTTAGAAGAGCTTTTACTTTCTTCAGGGTACATGGTTATGACTCAGTGCCTCAGAGCAGTGCGTAGGATGCTCTAACCACATTCCCTAGGCTGTATTTTTGTTTACCCAGAGCTCTGTTCTGTTTGTTTCTCTGAAATAGTTTTTTGCATTCTCTTATTTTCTTTAGGTCACCCCACTGTATGAGGAGTGGACCACAATTGATTGGTATCAGTTTTTCTGCTTATGGGAGAAGCTGCCCGCCTCAATGAAACGTGTGGCTGAGCTGGTGGGGATTGAAGAAGGCTTTCTGGCTCGCTCTGTAAAGGGCAAAATCATAGCTAAAACAGAGAAACAGCATAGACAAATGGCCATCCACAAAAGGTAGCCACAAATGGGCGTGAATATGCAAAGACTAGAGACTATAACATGTGGAGGGGACAGACTCTGTGTCTGTTTTCAGGAACTGGCTCTCTTGCTGAGTGAGCAGATAGCTCAGAGAACCTGGACCTGGTCTGCTCTGGACTGAGAACTCTGCTGGCACAAGGTGTTTGTGCTGATATTTTTGGAAGCCATCTTCCATATTTCATTTGTGTGCTATGCTATAGTACTCTCTCTGTCCTATGCTGTCACAGTGCCATGTACACTAATGTGCCCTGGATGACGATTTTATTTCCATGTGTACTTTTTCTACAGGTTTTTCACCAGTCTTGCCCTTGTGGATTTAATCAGTGAGGTTCCCTTAATGGATATGACTAAGAAATATGGCTGTAGTCGTGGCCAGCTTCAATCCTTGCAGCAGTCTGCTGCCACCTATGCAGGTGAGTTGTCTGGGCAAAAACCCCCAGGAGTCTTAGGCTAGTCTGTTTTCTTTCCTTCCAGATATGCGGATAAGATAGCCACAGTGTGGTAGTAACAACAATCGGTCTTGTAAAACCACTTCCAGCTTTATAGCTTAATCTGTGGTTGCCCTTGCTTTGAGATGGAACCACAGAGTGTGCTGTGGGAAGGGGGGGCCAGCTGAGTGGAATCAAGCAGTGATGTAGCATGCTGAGGTCTGTGGAAATCAGCTGTGTACTGTGCAGGAATATAGTTTGTTCAATACTAAGTATGGAAATTAAGTACAAGTCCATTCTGAAGCCTTGCTCTAGCAGGAAAGTGTGCCTTTCAGCAAGGGTAAAGTTTGGGGTCTCTAAGACTTAGCATGGCTTTCTCCTGGTTGCAAAGTTAATTGGCCAGAAAGTATAAGTTCATAGTTTTCAAAACAGAGTGAGTAGTTTTTGGGTCATTTATCATCCAATAACAAGAGGTCAGATAACTGTCACCTTTAACTTAACTTCCTTAAGAGGGCTCTGTAGGAGTAGAAGTAACAGCCCACCGTGTGACTGCGATTTTTTTTTTCCTATTGCCTAAGTCCTCCATTACTGCATAAGTGGGTCTTCAATTTTTAAGACAGTTTTAGCTCAACTTGCGAAACCCTATGTGTGGGTTGCAGCATGAGTCAAAGCCCCAAAATGAAAAGGTCACGCCAACTGATGCAGAGTAGTTTAAATTAATTCTGGTAGTATATATAACTTTTTGTTGTAGCAGTTTCATAATTCTCTATTCCCAGTGTTAATCATTTTTCAGCAATTAGGTAGATTAGTGCAGGAAAAAAAAGTAATTTGGGACGTAAAATGAGCTGTTGACATGACATATAGTTAAGAGATATGATAAATGTTGTATTCTATAATCACTATAAAAATAGTGAAGGATGCCATGTCTTTCAGTTATTTTCATATTCTGTAGATGCAATGTGTGAGTAATGAACTGTCTTTTCTCTGCCCTTTTCCTCCTCCCGTGTGCTGGGGACTGCAGTTTTAGCCTTTATCACAGGCTTTGCTACCTCCTATGGTACTCTCGGTAACTGAAATTCTGCAGGCCAAGTTCTGATCTTATGGACATCAGTACTGGCTTTCCTCAAAGATCTGTGACTTCTCTAAGTGCCTCTCAGCACTATTTTTCCTGTCTTCTTCGGTGTGTTTATTTCATAGGAATCCTGTTACATGGAAACATAGAGGATATGCATGTGCTTCACACTTTCAAGATTAGCATCTTCGGAAAAGCAGTTGTCATTCAGAATTTCTACCTCACTGATAAACTAGTTAATTTTAGATTAAGTTGAGTTCTGTGAGACCAGCTCCTAATCATAGTTATAATAAACATGAGTCAGTTTCTGTAAGTAATGGGAAGGTGAGAAATGTAAAGTGAATGCCTATTCAGATGAGGGGGGAAAAATGGATCCAGCTTAGTAGAACTGGAGCTGGAGTTAAGACATTGATGTAACTTCTGTGTTCCAGGAATGGTAACCGTTTTCTGTAAGCGACTGGGCTGGCACAACATGGAGCTGTTGCTCTCTCAGTTCCAGAGCCGCCTCACTTTTGGGGTTCATAGGGAGCTTTGTGACCTGGTACGAGTGTCCCTGCTGAATGCACAGCGTGCTAGGATGCTGTACAACGCTGGCTTCGTCACAGTGGCTGATCTTGCTAAAGCCAGTCCTGAGGATGTGGCAGCTGCTCTGAAGAATTCAGTACCATTCAAAAGGTGAGAAATCAGTAAGTCCAGAAGTCAAGTAAAGGAGTTTGTTTGTAAGGTGAAGGATTACAGGATGAAACCTGTGATTAAATATGGCAACCTTTTGGGACTTGGTGCCAAACGTTATTTAGAAATCAGTTGTAGGTCTCTGTGACTGATCACAGTCATTCCATGATTACTTTGAAATTAATAGAAACATCTTTTATTTGCAGCACAAGTTTGTGAGACCTAAATTTTCTTCTTGTTCCTCTTTTCAATGCACTGTTTAGTCCTGGGTGAATTGTTAATGCTTTCTGGTGACCTTCTGCTGCCTCTAAAAGGCAGCTCCACCATATGATCAAATGAGTTGATGATTTATTACTGTATATCATTTGAGATTCTCTTGTGATTTTCATGTTAGTGCAATGACAAGCTTCCTTGATCAAGTACCTGTTGGACTGTGCCATGGCGCCTGTCTGGTTCATGCTCCTGAAGTTTCCTTTCTTTGGAAAACAGTGCATGGAGGAGGATTGATTCAGACCTGGGTCTTGCCCTAGTAGGGAGTTGGGACTCATCTGGGGGACATGTTTGGACACAGAAACCTGGGAATGCTGCTGGGGTATGCAGCCAGTCATATCTTTCATTGACATCAATTCACATATAGAAAAATGAAATGGTTATTTCCTATTACGTGCATTGTATTTTGGATATAGTGCTTCTGTGAAGCTCGGAAGCTGTGAAGCTAATTGAAATGGGAGCAGAGCAGAATAGTGCCAGCTCCTTGTGTTGTTTGTTATTTTCTGCATGAATGTTTACATCTTGAATACTCTGTTCAGTTTTGGGCCCCTCACTGCAAGAAGGACATTGAGATCCTGGAGCGTGTCAAAAGAAGGGCAACGAAGCTGGTGAAGGGTCTGGAGCACAAGTCTTACAAGGAGCGGCTGAGGGAGCTGGGGTTGTTTAGCCTGGAGAAGAGGAGGCTGAGGGGAGACCTTATTGCTCTCTACAACTGCCCAAAAGGAGGTTGTAGCGAGGTGGGGGTCAGTCTCTTCTCCCTAGTAACAACTGATAGGACGAGAGGAAACGGCCTCAAGTTGTGCCAGGGGAGGTTTAGATTGGATACTAGGAAAAATTTCTTCACCAAAAGGGTTGTCAGGCATTGGAACAGGCTGCCCAGGGACGTGGTTCAGTCCCCATCCCTGGAGGTATTTAAAAGACGTGCAGATGTGGTGCTTGAGGACATGGTTTAGTGGTGGACTTGGCAGTGCTGGGTTAATGGTTGGACTCAATGATCTTAAGGGTCTTTTCCAACATAAACAATTCTATGATTGTATGATTCTTATCTGTCTGTTACCTTTCTCACAGTGTTCGTAGAGCTGTGGATGAAGATGAAGAATCAGCAGAGGAGCGTCGGACTGTGCGCAGCCTCTGGATGGCTGGAATGAAAGGCTTAACCGAAAGAGGAGCAGCTTCCCTCATTGTGGAGGAAGCCAGGGGACTTCTCCAGCAGGATTTGGCACTGATGGGAGTGCAGTGGAACCCAGAGTCCTTTCTCGAGTCTGATACGTCCTCTATGATCAGCAGTGAGTCAGAACTGGAAGACAGACTGCGTAGATCAAATAGAGAGCAGTCTTCTGAGCCTTCTAGGGTGTTAAACAAAAAAGGGTGCAGAGTTCAACATCATAATGGCCTTGGCTCTCACACTGGAAACTTATCAAATATTAAAAAGGGTTATAAAAGGCAACTAAGCGGTAGTACAGAAAACTCCAGATTTGAGTGTGAAGTCCCAGGCAGGACACAGGCTCGAGCAGAGGAAGGCAATGATGATATTGTGTACAGTGCTAGAAAGCGGCCAAATATGTGCAGAGATAATGAAAACATAGAAGGAATTTCTCTGGTCAAAACCAAGACTGATTCCAGGAGAGCAATTCCAGAACTCCCTACTGAACAAGGAAAAACACCAACATTGAGAACAAAGTCTTCAGCCTCTAGATTGATAAAAAGTATGGACATGCATTTAAACCGGACTAGGAACAAAAATGCTGCTTCAAAACTGGAGAGGTCACTTCTTGAAGATTCAAGTATGCTTAGCAGAGACATACAAAAGCCACCTGCTTTCCACCACACCATCTCTAAAGATATTTTTTTTTCAGACCAAAATAATAAGGAATTTATGGAAACAGGGTCTGTAACTCGTAAAGACTCAAATACTGTACAGATAGGGGAAATTAATCTTGGGAGGAAGGATAAGATGGAAGGATTATTTACAGAGCCTACCACCACTAATGAAGGCATGCCTAAGGGGAGAGCATGTTTTCAGGCACCTGTTATGTTGCAGGGTACTCCACACATCAATGTGGAAACACATGATAATGTAGAAAGTCTAGTAATACCTGCTAGTGCTAGGACACAGAGAAATGAAAATACTGATGATAAGCAGAATAAAATTAACAAAATGCAAACAGATGCTAGCTGTGCTGAGGTGATGATTGGTAAGCAGCAGATGGCTTTAGACACAGATCACTGTAACGTAACTGCTACAAGTGGACATGTCCATGGTGGCAGCAGGATACAGAAGCCTGTGCGTTTTTGTCCTGGTGAGGATAAATCCTACCATATTAAGATTCAGAATGGTGGCAAAAGTGGGAGCGAAAAGCCCAATGGAATATTGTTACAAGCTGGAGCACTGCAGAAAGCCAACAGTCATCCTAAGAATTTTCTGAAAGACTCTCTAGTAAAATCCAGAGGTATTTGCAATGCAGATGATGTTCAGAACGGTCCATCCTCTGATCTGTTTTCTGACTCTGGAGACTTTGAAGACAGCTTCCAGTTGGATACTCAAACCGAGATGATGATAAAACAGGAGGGAGCAGGTGGAATCACAGGACAGCAGGGAATACAAGGTTCAGGGCTGGCAGCAATACCACGTCAGGAAATCTCCAAGAAACTAAGCACTTCATGGACTGAGAATGCTACTGATGAAAGACTGGCTGCAACAGTTAGGAAACTGGGCTTATCGAGTCTTATCACAACAAGTAACATCACAAAAAACACAGCTCAGCACTGCAGTAATAAAGTTTTGGAGTCTGGAGGCATTAATTTACAGCCCATAGTGAAGGAAATGGAATCTGCACCTTGCCTTAAAGAAAGCGATTTCTCTGTGACCGACTCCCAGCTACACAGTTTTCTACAAGATTACCAGACCCAAAATTCAGTGAAAGGGGAGAGTGTGTCTAAAGACCGTAATAAAACAATCTCCCCTTTTGGTAGGGAGCACATTGTACAAGTAGAATGCCATCCTGTCCCCGAAACAAGCCTGAATATGAGCGATAGCTTGCTGTTTGATGATAGCTTCAGTAATGTCAGCGACCTTTCAGCTGTTCACATCACAGAAGCTGACAGAAAGGAGCCTGTGGAGAAGCAAGAGGCTTTGCTTCCTCCAGATGGTCTTTTGCAGAACCTAAGACCTGTTCAGAATAAATTTGATGTCAGTGGCAATCAGAAAGAGCATGAGGCTCCTGTGCAGCGTAAAGATGTGTCTCTAGCATTCTCTGACCTAATAGCTGAAGTTTTAGATCATGCAAATTCCCCATCTTTCCTGGAAGATCTTCCTTCTACATTTCATGGTCAGCCAGGATTAAGAAACCCAGTGATTTGTAACAATGACTTCAGACCAAAGGAATTAGTAGGAGATCGAGGTGAAAAGCTCCAGAGAAGCCAGCAAGCTTTAGACAAGAAAACCCATCCAGTGGTGTGGACTGAACACTCATTCGAATTAAGCCCAGGATTGCAGGATGTATTAGACAAATGGCCGAGTCCTTCAGGCATTGAACCAGTTTCAATAGGCTCCTGTTTGAAAGGAAAGTTAGTTGCTCCTATTGTTAATCAAGAGCCAGATCCAGTTTTTGAATCTGACTGTTGTCAGCCAGAGCCTTTGCCCACTTTCCAGGATTTAAAAAGCTCTTTCAAAGTTAAAGAAAACAAAACAGAAAACTTGGATCTTCAGAAAACAGATTGCATGACACTTCCACTCAAGGGAAGCGACAGAACATCCTGTCCTCCACCAGACAGTAATAATGGGTTTATTCCTCCAACACCCCCCAAAGAGCTTTTTCCGAAGAGTTCTATTTCTCTTTCTGTGAAATCTGCAAGGAAGAGACAAGTCGCCTGCGTGAATGAAAGGCAGGTGATTCAGTTACAGCAGAATAGTGAGGGCAATGCAAAGCAGCAGGTAGAAACACTCCAGGTCAGTCTTGGGAGTATAGACCCAATTGAGACTGATGAGATAAAAGATGATTCCGCTATAGACCAAGGCTTTTCACTGCAGCTATCTCAGGATGTTTTTCCGCTCATTCCCTTAAGCGCTGAAAGTTTCACTATTATTGATGTAGCAAGCGACAAGGCACTTTTCCAGACTTTTGTTGCAGAATGGAAGGAGAAAAGCAGATTCTCCATCTCAGTGGCATGCGAAAGAACAAAATGTCTTTTGTCTCCCAAATCAACGATTGGTGGCAAATTCAAAAAAGGTCAGTTCCATGTTCCAGCACGTTATTTTGTGAACAGCAGGGTGGCGTCTTCAGCTTAAAGCAGTAGTGGAGAAGGAAAGGGTTTGCAAAAAAGGAGGAAAATTACTGATACTAATTGAGTATTGTCAGTCTCAGTAAAGCAAAGGAGCTGAGTGCTAGTAGAGGATGGAGAATCGGTGTCAAGCATCTCATTGGTAGGTCTTTGGTGATAGTAATGAAGTGTTAGCAGCTTGTTTGTATGTGAGAGCATCGAAATATTCTTAATGTTTCATTGTGTATCTAATTTTGAAATGGATCTGTGTTGTGCAGTCCCTTTATCATGTGTATCTTTCCGTGTCATTAACAAGTTTCAGTATATTTTAAAATGAGTAATATATTTAACAGTTAACTGTACAGATTGTTCAGAGTCTCCACTGAGCAGAGTTACTTGCGGGATTGCCTCTGAACCGAGGTTAAATATTTTCGAGTTTGCATAAACTTGGTTCAATATATGCATGTGTGAAATTCAGATCAGTCTCTGGATTGTTGCAATATTGCTTCATTTTTTTCCACAGAAGTATTCCTATGCTGCAGTTTGCTGCTGCTGCTGTACAAACATTCTTCCTTTAAAATAACCAGATTAAGCAGAGTTAGATTCTTTGCTGTCATATTGCCATAACAACAACAACAAAATTTCCTAACTATCAAAATATATTTTTCACAGACAAATGTGAAATGTTTTTTAGAGTGAAAGGAGGGAATACATTTCTGTCTCAACTCTTGAAGAGATTGCTAGGAAAGGCCAGAGTTTTGCAGGGATGCTATATGGGTGGTTGTATCTGTTAAGAGAAAGTTTTGCTATTCTAAGCATGTTGGGTTTTTTTCCCCAGATGAAACACAGATTTTTCTCCCTATAGATAAAAATGAAGGTATATATTAACTTTTAAGAAATTTAGGCTCAACTATGCATTTACATTTTCAAGATCCAAACTGTTCTGTATTTATGGATGCCATTTTATAATTGTAACTTAAAAATTATTCCTTTAGTAAGTTCTCCTCAGTGGATGCAAGTTAAAGATGACGGATTTCCTGTCCAAGGCTGCGAAGACATCTTGGTAGTTGGACTGGCAGTATGTTGGGGTGGAAAAGATGCCTACTATATCTCTTTGCAGCAGATACAAGACCAGACTGGTAAGTGAGCAGACAGGCTGTGCTGCGTTACGTGACACTGCATTTCAAGAAAGTACCTTCAGCAGATAGGTTCTTGGAAGTGTTTTAAGTGTCCCAAACGCAGCTCAGTTGTGTGATGGAGTGATTTAGCCATATTATTCAGCAATCTTAAGTGTTGAACACCCTTGAACACATTGCTGTGGATATATCGGTACTGCTATATAATAAAGCCAGGTAGTTGGCCTAAGCACTGGACTGCTGAGCATGCATATTGCTAGAATGTTAGCTTACTCCCATGTTCTCTTTAGCTTACTGGCTTTTGTCTTTCAACCTCTTCCAATATTTGCTCTCTAGAACAAATCTGACACTTGAATGCTGAACATAACCCAATCTGTGCTACGTGGGCTTGTGGCTAGGGTTTGATTCCTGGCTCTCCTTTGTTTAGTAGTACAGACAAAGCATATTGCTTTTAGGAGCCTTGTCTGATTTGATAAAATATATAATATTGGTATAGATTTATTGTTATTTGTTCACAGTCCAACTGTGGTTTTTGTGCTTTAGGTGATTGCATGCAAGATTTTCTCTTGCCTTTCTTATCACGCAGTGGGTGAAAAAATGATTTCTGCTTTTATTTCCTGCCTTAGAAATCAGTATGAGTTTGGCACCGCCACCTTTGGACAAAAACCTATCTGTAACAGAGAGACTGTATCATCTGCAACTGCACCTGCAGAAGAAGCCCAAGCAGGAGCGCTCACTTGTCATGTATAACTTCATTCAGCACTATAAGACTCTGGTGATGGCTTGTGGCATCTCCTTGGAAGGAAGTTTTGAGGACCCAAAGGTTTGCAGGATTAAGAAATTTAGCTTGGGTAAAACTAATAGTTTAAACACACCAGTGGAAAGACAGCAGTACCTTCTGGTGCTTTCCTTCTGTTATTTAGATTTGAATACACATACCTGTCAGGGAGTTTAGTGAAACTTTCTTCCAGTGAGAAATCTAGAACAGTATTTACAGGAGACTTCTTTTTGCTATGTGTATTCATAGTGCCTGCAAGAGAAACAGAGCAGGTTCAGTGACAGGTTAACATGTTCATCTTTCACACCTGATTGCTTGGGTGGGGAGGATGAGTTTAAATCTCTCCCCTGTCCCAGTGGACAGAGCTGAGCTCTTGTTTTGTTGCTATAAGAAGCCTGGGATTAAAATGTGAGAAGTGCTTCTGGTCAGATTATTGATTCTGAGAGCAGAAGGCTTTGTAAGCAAAAGATTTACCCACTATGTGTATGGACCACCTTGCTACCACTATTTTCTCAAAACAAAGTTTACATGTAATTTCAAAAGGTTCAGGTACCATTTGTAACTCAAGTGAAACACTATAAAGAGGTAAAAGCGCTGCCTTTGTCATTGTTAGGAAAAGCTCTAGATGCATAGAAGTTTTTGGTGTTGATTTTTAAAGCTTGCATCACACATGGGCTGAATAGCATCATGGCAATATTAAAGTCTGCATCTAAGTAGCTAAGCTGCTGAACTCAAGGACAAACTTAGCTTTTCATACCAATACATAGTTTTAGGATAAAATTAAAGAGCAATAAAAGTAGAACTTCTCCCTGTGCTGTTCCACGTATTAAATGGAGTCATGCTCATATTTGTTCATTTTAGTGATGCAATGAATATATATACATGCACATACACACACATTCTCACACACACACACCCCCCCACACCTGTACATATACATGTGGTTTTTACCTTCTGCTTGCATGGCAGAGACAATGCAGAAACCTGTATTTCGTCCTGTTTTGACACAAGAAATTGAAATATAGCTATAAATGAAATGGCTTTGAAGACAGTGGGAGGTATGAGGCTTACCGAGAATAAAATTTGCCTTGCAGAATTCTTGGTACTAGTGCTGATGTGCAAAAAATAGGAGAGCTCAGCATGACTAATATTCTAGATCAATAGCAAGTTCGGATTTTTACAAAGTCAGTTTTCAGATTAAACACGTTTTGATCCTGATTTTCATATTTAATCTCCTTTGTGTTGGGTTTTAATAAATGAAAAAACCTGAGGACAACACTTTGAGATGTGTTTAGTTGACAGAGGGTAAGGTTTTCAAATGTGCAGAATTAACTTTGAGTGAGAATGAAGCATTTCAGTGACTTACGCCCTCTCGAAGGTTTTATCTGAAATCATGTAAGTTTTTGACAAATTATTCCAGTCTGCCTGCCAAATCAAGAAAAATAATCTGCACTATAATCTTGCATTAACTCCCAGTTAAATATTTACATGGTATTATGACTAAAATGGAAAAATGTTCTCATGGAGGTCTCCCTTTTTTAAGGTTGCATGTTGGCTGCTTGATTCTGGCTCTAAGGAACGTACGCTTCACAACATGGTGACTAACTTTCTCCCCAACGAGCTACCTCTACTGGAAGGGGTAGGCACTGGCCAAGGGGTGCAGAGCCTGGGGCTTAGCGCCAGCGGAGATCATTCTGGGCGGTACAGAGCAGCAATAGAGTCTGTGCTTATCTTCAATGTCATGAACCAACTCCATCATGAATTACAGAAGGAAAATCTGACAGGTAAAGAGAGCTCCTCCACCGGGGGGCAAAGATGGAGAGTAAAGGTAGCTGTGTTACCACAAGCTGAATGATCAGTGGAGAAGTGAGGAGATTTGGAAGTTCTTATTTAAGTATATTCTGTGGCAAAATGCTGATTTGTTAAAAGAAAAGAGAGAACTTCCCTTGGAAGTACATCTGTTTTGTCAAAAGATTAAATTAATTTTTAAATTAAAATACAATTTCTATATCCCAAATATCCACCAGTTCCATTGATTAAGGCAATAGCAGAGTCTATTTTAAGTCTCTGAATCAAGCAGATCTTTACCTCCCTCCTGTACATTCTGAGGGGGCTTGTGAGTCTGTCTGTGGTTTCTCATGAACATTTTCAAAAGCTTTTGCATTTCCTCAGATGTTTTCTGAAGGAGATTTGCTCTTTGACCTGCCAGTGTAGCATTGTTTGCCACGTATGTGTTGTGTCCATGAAACTTTTGTGATCCCATAGTGAATGATCCAGTATGTTTGCACTAATATTTGCTGAGTGCTTGTCTCTCTTTAAAAACAAGCAAACAAAAAAAGCCCCAAAAGCACATACCTATTGGTAAGCTTTACAACGTTTCCCCTAAATTTTATCCAAAGCCTAAGATTAAGGTCCAGTCTCACTGAAGTCTATTATTGCAAGTTTATTTATGATCGTGACAACTAAACCTTAGAACATTTTTAAAAGATGTGGATGGTGGAATGAAAGTGTATCAGGTTAGAAAGCTTTACATTAAGCATGTCTGTGGTTTATAAAATGTTGATATACAAAGAAATGTGTATTTCTTAGAAAAAAAAATTGACAGAAGTTGTTATTCTGTTTAATACTTTTGTGATAAAAAGTTCTGGAATACTTCTTATTATGAAATATTTCTTACTATAAAATATTCCAGAAACAAAAGTATTTAAACTAGATCTATATTAGAAGATTTCAGTGTGTCAGGACATTAAGGATTTTAAAAACTGGGAATTCCCCAGGGTTTTTTTTAATGAATCTGTTGATCTGTAGTTGATCTGTTTTTGATGTTATAAAATATTTTCTTGGGATTTTTCCTTACTACAGAAGTATTTTCTAAAGTGGAGATGCCCACCCATTATTGCTTGGCTCTGCTGGAGCTGAATGGCATTGGTTTTAGCACAACAGCATATGAAACCCAGAAACAGGTCATGCAAGCCAAACTGAGCGAGATTGAGACCAAGGCGTATCAGCTGGCAGGCCACAGCTTCTCCTTGACCAGCCCTGATGACATTGCAGAGGTATATGAGGGTTAGGGTGGGAGGGGGAGAACTTTCTCAGAAGTTACCCTCAAAAGGCTTTTGCTTAGACTTAAGAAAGAACCTTCTTGGGCAGAATGCACATGAAGAAAACACAGAACGCAAATTGAACTCTGCTCAGAGTTGATTTGTCTTTACGCTCATTATGAGCTTGCTGCCTGCAAGGTGCTGTGCATCTCATGCTTGTTACTGATCATTCTGATTTCTGCTAACTTCAGCAGCAATAAAGAAGGTAGGAGTGGAAGTAAGCATGTTGGAAATAAAAATCAAGTGGAAATAAGCATGTTGTTTGTATAGGACCTTGGCTTCTCATGGTGCATGAGATGATCTGCCAATTAAATGGCTTTTGGAATATTTTGGATGAATGATGTTGGACTAGAGAAGCTTTTCTGCAGTACCAGTATTCTGCACACGAGATGTGATATCATGTAGTCTGAGTCTAAGAGTAGTTGTACTGAATAAGTTGCATTGTTGCCCTTGTCCCTACACAGTCATGAAAGAGAAGGAGAGACTGCTTTAAAAGTTTTGAATTAACTACTGTCTGTTTTTAGGAACCTGTATAAAACAGATTTTTTTGAAAGCCTAAGAAACAGATTTCTATGTAAATTTGCAATACTTCTGTTCCTGAAGAACTTTACTATAATGTATGTTACATGGAATCATAGGAATAGATTATAATTGCTGTGCATGCTTTTTATCCCATTTTTTTTTTCTCTTTATACTAGTTTCTTGCTGAGGGGCTATACTTTATATGGAAGTAGTCAAAATTTGCAAGCCATTTGCAGCCAGCACTAAAAGAAGTTCCACAGAAATAGTCCTCCTTTGTTTCAAATGCAGAAGTTTTGCTCGGCAACAGTAGTCTGAGTTAGAGCTCCTGAAATAATGCTCGGCTCCAATTTCACTCTGCATCATGGAAAAGGGGAAGGAAAATTTTTTCTGAAATGCTGTTTTCTGAACTACAGAAGCTTGTTTCTCACGTGGAAATTTTGTTAGGAATCATGTAAGGTGTCTTATATAGGTTAGTAGAGCTTCACCCTTTTAATTTTGTGTCAGTAAAAGTTTTGTGCTACATAAATGTGTGAAAGTGAAGTTTTTGTTCCCTTTTGCCAACTGTGAAATGAAATGGAATAGCTGTTCAATAGTGTGTAATGCTACATAGAAACATAGAATGAAAAATGAAAAGCTGTGTTGTATCTGTCAACAAGTGAGCATATACCAGTCATTTTCCAGTTCTTGGCAATTTTTTAGAAAAACTTAACATTCTGGCTATTCTATAAAAGGTATTTGTGACCACCTCCTTCTGTGTCATTCATGTTGCTCTGAAGCCTGCTCCCTGCTAACACTTCTTTTTTTCACCAATGTTCTTCTCACTTTTAGTCGTTTTAACATCACGTTTTATTACAGTTGACTGTCAGCAGTAACCTCACTTATTGGATGGAGTTAATTACCTTTTCTAAGAACATACCTCTGAAGTCAAGCTTACAGTGTTTAGAAAATGAGATTTTTAGATTGCATTTTGTAGTTAATTAAAGTGAGGAGGGATGACTTTGATAGCAGAGATCTTTAATCAGCTTTTTAATTACCTGAAGCATTCATACTATCCTTTGGTTGGAACAAGCTGTTTAAGTGCTCAGTCGCTTTTTGTCTTCCTCTAGGAGCAGCATGCAGAAACTGACTTGAAATGCTGGCCTTTTTCAGGTTTTGTTCCTGGAGCTGAAGTTGCCACAAAATGGAGATGTGAAAGTTCAAGGGAACAAGAAAACTCTGGGTTACACCAGAAGAGCAACTGCTAAAGGAAACAGGGTTAGGTTGAGCAAGCAGTTCAGTACAACCAAGGTACAGTAAAGTCTGGCTGTAGTCTGAAAGTGACTGTAAAAATAACTAACTCCCTCTTACTTCACACATCTTCTGCTTGGACCCATTGGAGTTAGGTATGCTGACTTAAATGAAAGTAAATTTTAACTGCCTTTTGCTCCTCCAGTTACCACTGGAAATTCATACTGGATTCTGTCTTCTCTGTTAGCAGTTACTAACTCCTCCTCCTCTCCTAAAGCCTGAGTGTAGTGAGGCCATGACTATAAATAGCAGGCTTCAATGAGAATAAATTGGGCAGAATTTTATTTCCCAAACTGTGTGTAAGACCAAAATAGCACTATAATTTTGTAAAGCCAATAGTAGAAGAATTTTTCAACATCAGCTTGAAAGATACTTAAATACCATGGTGGTTAAATACAGTATTTTCTCTGTCTGGTACTACCATATCTGTATTTTGTGCTTCAGAGAATTTGTCTTCAGAATGGCAGATCTGATGGCTTATCAAATTTTTTATATCAAAAGCTTGTATATATGTGAAGGCTATTGACGTGCTTGCCAGTGGATAAATATTGTGGAGCTGCATTAATACCAACTGCTGCAGGCTAATGGGTGCTCTTGCCAGACAAGTAATATTAGCAGATATATATGTTCCCTGTTTTCAGGACTCATTAATCTGTGTTGTTTTCTTAGTTTCCCCTTGTTGAGTGTAGTGAGTGCTTGGAAGACAAGTATTGATTTCTGAAACTCAAGAGGCAGTGAAGAATTGAGTGCAGTGGTGGTGGCAGAGCAGGGAGCAAGAGGCAAAGTGAGGATTTTCTCCTTTTGCGACATGGAGGGATGAGACTGCAGCTGTCTGCTGCATACAAAAAATATTATTTTGAGAAATGTTTGCATGCCACTGTCTTTCAAAATACTTGTTAGTCCCTTCATGTTTCTGATTTAACTGAAAGGATTTGATTGCTAGTGATCAACTTTGTCTTTCAAGGAGCATGGTCAAGGACTTCATTTTATGTGTTCCTAGTGTACGGATAGGAGAGAGCAGGGAGAAAAATATGCAACAAGATGGAGGAGGAGCATTAATGCTGGGCAAGAGGAGACAACGTAGGTGATCTATGGCAAGTGATGTTTTATTTGACCATTTCAGGTAATTTATTGGTTGGTGCAGACTGCAAGTGGTGATGAGGATGCAAAAGTCCAAAGAGAAGTGATTGCCACCTTGTGTGTAATAAAACTGCAGCTGTGTCTCATGGGGCTTTGATCGCCCAGGTCTAGCTGCTATAACTGGAGGGGGTATCTGTTCAATTTTAAGGCAGTGACACTGGAAGCTTACTGTGGGTGAAGGAGTCACTTTTTCCTGCGGAACTGCAAAAACTTTATTTATAAAGCTTTTAAGGCAGTTAATTATAGTTGTGCCCTTTTCTCCCCACAAGGATGTTTTAGAGAAATTAAAGACACTTCACCCATTGCCAGGGCTGATACTGGAATGGAGGAGGATCAACAATGCCATTACTAAAGTGGTGTTTCCACTACAGAGGGAAAAGCGATTGAATTCTGCGCTGGGAATGGAAAGGATATATCCAGTGTCACAGACTCACACAGCTACAGGTAAAGAAATGCGTGCTAAACCCTCACTTCTTACTGATTTTTTTTTCTTTTCGTGTGTGTGTTTGGGCAGCTTTTCTATGGGGAGAAGATAGGAAATCAAGCCTGTTCTCTATTTCAACCAAATTAAAATACTGAAACACCTATTTCACAGGAATCTGCCCTAAAAGTCTAGATGTATTAAAATAGCTTTTGTGTTCACCGAGCAGTATTATTCATTTATTGCACATATTAGCATGTAAATCTCTGACCCCAAAACAGGTTCTGGATTTGGGAGTTTCTTATTAGTGATACAGAAATGTTGCAGGGGAACCATCTCAAACCCATTCAACCCAAATTATTTTTCCTTTTCTTCAGTTTTCTCAGTGGTCATGTCCTGTCGCACCCTCCTGCCCCTTGTTTTTTGAAGATGCAGATGTGTGTTCAGCTGTGTTAAGTTAAGGAGACTCCTTTTGGACCCTTACTTAGTTCTGCCTTGTCTTCCTTCTCAGGTCGAATAACCTTCACAGAGCCAAATATCCAGAACGTGCCAAGAGATTTTGAGATTGAAATGCCAACTGTGGTTGAAGAAAGCCCACCCTCGCGAGCCCATGGAAATGTTAATTGTCGTGCTGTTTCTGGGGGCAGGTAGGAGGATCTTGGCAAAGCTTCTGCCTACTCTTCTGATCTTAATGTGGTTGAGTTGTCAAATTTTTCTGACTTCACCTGTGGCTGCTGTCATGCCAGTGTGACTTGTTACTCAGTGTTTTTCTTACAGTTTCAGGGGAATAAATACCTAAAAATCAGTGACACATGAAAGACCTAATACTACTAACAGCACATGGCTCCATGTAGCCACTTGCTTTTTGAAATTCTTTATGAAACCCTACAATGAGATTAGCATTGTGCTCCCAACTGTTGGATGAAAAGCCTGAGTGTGAGAAGTAACTAAACTGAAGTTCTTTTGTGACGAAGATCTGGTTTGACTTTCTAAGAGCTGCTCTGAAAGAAGATAGGATAATGTGGAAGAAGTAGAAGGAAGTTCATCTGTTTTATGCTGTGCAGCTCCCTGTGTAAGGGAACGTGGGTGAACATATTTTACATTTTTGTTAATAATTTCATTTGTGATAATGATCCTGCAAAAGCTACCAGGTAGCAGAAAAAGATTTCTAAGTCTGGTTTTGGTTAACCAAACACCCTATTTTGACAGCATTAGATGCCAATGCCTAAACAGTTGTGTGGAAGTCTAGTGAGATATCAAGGTGGATCTTTTAGCAGCTAGCTTGTGAGCTTTGGGGCTTTATACTTGGTGGTGGTTTTCTGTCCTTTCAGTTTCTCTTTCCATTCAGGTTATTGTCCCACATATGTCACCTGAGAGACTTTTATCATCTTTTTTCCCATAGCAAGATGTGAGAACTTCCAGAAATTTTTTGGCCCTTCTATCTGTCTTTTTCTACCACCATGTGTCTAACATCCTTGCTCCTTGAAGTAGGTCATGGGAAGAGAGCCCAGGAGTAGCAAGATCTTGTCCATCGCTCTTCAGGAGAAGAACCAGGCCTAGCCATAGAGGCAGAAATGTCGTTCTGAGAAATAGCTCTGTCAGTGCTCAGGCTTGCAGCAGCTTTGCAGGACAGTTGGAGAATGGGCTGTGTTCTTTAGAGTCTTCCCTATAGAGAAGCAGCCCATCAAAGGAATGGAGTGCATGCTGAACTTTGAGAGAGGTCAGCTTGTCAGGCTGACTTTTGAGACTACGTTCTTTAGTTAAGCAGCCACTGTGTTAGGACGATGAGCAATCCTAAAGGCACAGAAATGACTGCTGGCACAAAAGAAGCTGTCATGCAGCCTAAGTCTGACAGGCCTTCCAAACTTTGGTCCAAACTGTCTTTTATCTTAGTAATTACTATTACTACTCCTTCTTCTTGTTGGAAGAAGCTTCTGACCAAATGAGTGTAGCTACATTAGATCATGGTATAAAGCCCTTACTCATTCAACTAAATTGGGAACTTCTGCTGGACAGTGTGATTCTCTACAGTTCCCATATGCTGTCCCTCACCTCTATTTCTTTTGAAAATTTATTTCTGTGATTTTTGTGCTATCTTTCATCTCCTTGATCCCCACCATCCCTGAAATGAAAAGGTAGAAGAAGAAAAGGGAGTGCACAAGGGACGAGCGCATGATGTCTTTTCCATGCCTTGCTTTGCTGAAACTAGCCTTGATCTCAGAGATACCTTTTCATTCTGACAAAGAAATTGCTCAGATCCCTGACCCAGACATCAAGGGCTTGTAAAGGCCTTTGACTGCACTTCCAGTGAAGAACCCAACAGGCTGGCTGGTAAACTGGTGCTGATGGGAGTAGGAAGTGTGAAGGGTGTCACAGCTGTGCACTGTTCAGTGGGTACGCCGATGGATACAGTTCCATCTGCAGCTACAAGTGACTTGGTGGGACAGGAAAGCTAAGCAAGCCCGGAGAGGTTACAGAGCACCTGGTGCCACTGTAAACTTCTGGCCTTCTGGAAAAAGAAAATCTGTTTGCTTTGAGGCAATTTTTTGCTCAGTCTGTAGAGAGGAAACGTGCAGTGTTTTATGAGCATGTCTTCTGCAACTTGTGCTCTGCTTTTACAGGCTTACTTGTGTGTGTGTGTGTGTGTGTGCGCGCGCGTGCGCACGCACGCACGCAGGCGTGCAGTCATGAGGCTGATGTTGTGGGGGAAATCTTTTCTGTCCCTACTAGTTATGGGCTGGTGTAGCCACTCTGCATATGAGCATGATGTTGAGAGAAGACTTGGCATTCGTTGAATTTTTAGGATTCCTGTAGGACTCCTTTGCTGTCTTTCTGGCGTGCACCCATCACAGATCTGGGGCCTTTCATATTAACTGTTTTGGAGTGGAATTATCCAATTTCTAGACTAAACCCTGAATGTACTAGGAAGATTTATCCCTAAATCTGTTCAGAGTCAGTAAATCCCTTCAGGTGTACATTGTTCTGTCCTCTGTCCAGTTCCCCCATGGTTGAATTTAGGTATGGATTATCCAGAAGAGTGGACTGGAGGCTACTGTCTCACTTGTTTTCACTGATTCTTTGTGGCAAAAATGATTATGCATCTTTAAGTGTTTTAGAAATTAGTGAAGAACAGTCATTCTTTGTCTCCACAGATGTAGAAAGCGTTCCAGTATTTTGCGTAATGGCCTAAAGGTTCAGACTGAAGACAGACCCAAAGAAAGAGGAATACCATTTTCTGTTAGCATGAGGCATGCCTTTGTTCCGTTCCCAGGTAATGCCCAGATCCTGCTCTGTGCCAGCTAATTGTTAAGAATATAGTTAACAAAAAATCCTAGATCTAATGAAGAGCTGAGAATTGATGACAGTATATATCTGACTGAGCAGCCTACTTGGAAAACTAATGCAGTAGTTAGCATGCCCTCAAAATTATTCACAAGAAAGTAAAGGAGAGCGTTTCAACTGGGGAAAGTATTCAGATGTTATAATTCAAGTGTTCACACCTTCATTTTCTCTTTAAGAATACATATTTTTTAAAGAGCTATACTTAGGCAGATCTTAATACACGAATTGCACTCTATCTAGTGTTATTTCTAGCCAAATGTCAGTTCTCACGTTGCCTGCCCTGGCTCAGTGCAAGTCTGCTGCTCTGATCTCTATGCCGATCATGCCTGTCAGGTGCTAGGCGTTTACACAGACACCTGGACAGATACCTGTCTGTGTGTTTTCGATGGATTCTAGATGTAGGGACTGGATGGAAAGCAAGCAGGCCTGGGCATTGGGGAAACAGGCAAGAATTTGTCCAATTTAATTCCTCCTGTTTATTGGCACAACTTTCAGCAGTGGCAGAATCAACACCCAAAAGTATTTGCAAGAAAATGGAGACTGAGGTTGCATAGAAATAGCTGTGGAAAACTTTCAGAGCAGAAGGTCCAAGGACAGCTTCAGTCCTTCTTGATGGAATGCTGGTTGGAATGTTGTTGGAGTAATTTATGAAATAACGATTTCTCTGCTACCTTGTTGACTTCAGGTGGCTTAATCTTGGCTGCTGATTACTCTCAGCTTGAACTGAGGATCCTTGCTCATTTGTCTTGTGACTGTCGACTCATTCAAGCCTTGAACGGGGGTACTGATGTCTTTAAGAGCATTGCAGCAGAATGGAAAATGATTGATCCTGAAGCTGTTGGAGAGAGGACCAGGCAACAAGCTAAACAGGTAATTTTTAGGAAAAAGAATTAAGCAGCAGCTTTCTGGGCAGGAAGATTCAGTGTTCAAAACATCAGGGAGTCACAATAGTATGGTTTTCTGTTTGCGTTCGGCCACAACTGTTCAGCAGTTGCTTTGTATGTCATCCCACTCTCACTACATTTCAACTGGAGCTGTCTGGGTTTTGGGGGATGAGGGTGGAGAAAAGCAGCATGAATGGCCGAGGTAGTCTCTCTTCTTGAATGCTTGTCCTTGTTCCATACACTTGTATTCCAGTGAATCACGTTTTGTTCTGTCTCTGCTTTCTCTGCATGGCTTACCATATGGTTGTGGTTCTTCACGCTGTCCTCTGGCAGATTTGCTACGGAATCATCTATGGAATAGGAGCAAAATCTTTAGGCGAGCAGATGGGGATTGATGAAAACGAAGCTGCCAATTACATTGAATCCTTCAAATCAAGATACACAGGTTCGGATATGGCTGTTTGGGAGCTGTGTGGTGGTGGTGGTGGTGGTTGTTTTTAATCCCTTCTGTCCATGTTTCTTCAAATCCTAAAGTTGTCTCAGCCCTCTACTACTCCTGTCTCTTTTGAAAAAGCTTTTCATTTTGAAAAAGCCCAGTGCATGAACACAGCAGTTTGGTACTTCATAATGTTTTACTGTACACTCTGGCTTTATTCATCTTTAGGACCTTGTTGTTTGCTTATTGCATGAATTATTTTGTTGGGTTTTTAATTAATTAATAAGCCCTGAGGATTCATTTTAAAGCTCTTAACTTTCTGAATAAGAAACGCTCTTTTCCTTATTAAATCACATAGCTTTAAAGTATATGCAATACAACTTTAGACCACACTTCTTCTAATTTTTAAATATATCCATTTCTCTCTTCTGTTCTTGTCTTCTGCTTTCATTGAGTTTTAAACTGTTTTGCATATAACCCTTACATTTTTATCCAGCTGCTCAGAGCAGCTCTCCCATATTTCGTGAAAAGACATTGTTGCATTTCTAAGCAGCATGTTAATTTTTAGGAAGGCTATAGAAAGAGTAGAGCTGCAATCAGAAAATGAATGGAGGGCAAATGGGATGACAGACAGCTAGCTCTAATCATAAAACTTGGAAATGAGCTGGAAGATTATATTCTGAAGATTCAGGATTTGTTTCTTTAGGAGACAGATGCTGAGAAATGGTGTCCTATTAAGAGTCTGTTTAGTCTCCAGTAATTTCTGGATAGTGTCTCCTTCACGACCATTAGAAATTACTTCCTGCTTCCTCCCGCTTGGTACACGTGCATACATACAAACTCTGCAATGTACCTTATATTGTAACTTCACTTCTTATGAATTTTCACTTATATGTATTGGCAGGCTGACACGCTAAATTACATACCTAATGAATTGACTAATGCTGTCAGTCTTGATCCTGAGTAGCTCTGTTTATGTTATATATTTTGCAAACCTTGGAAAGAAACTGTCTGAAGTTAACTTTTTCCACTTCAGTGCAGTTGTTACCTGAACTTGCAGTGAAAGGGACTCTTCCCTGTCTCACCCTTCTTTGACCTAAGTTTCTTTTTAACATCCTCGGTGGATTCACTCCTCCCCTTGCAAAGTGCAGGTGGGTGAATTTCTTTCATACTAGAATCTGAAGTGACAGAGTCTGAAGTCAGGCAGCCTGAGGCATCAAGGGCTCTGACTTCTGCTTTCAACTTAGTCCCTTCCTACTACTTGTCTTTCCAGTGCTGGTCCAGGTCCCGACCTCACCATTATCAATAATACATGTATGGTCCTCTCTGCCTGGGTGCTGTGCAGAATGGACTTCCTACCTCCTTGTGCACAGCCAGATATCCTGACACTATGCACTCTCTTCCACTTCAAAAGTCTTAATAGGTTTCCCAGCAGAGCTGCGAATAGGCTGAGTGAGTGATCATATGCCCTTGTACACTGGCAGGGTCTCGGAAATTTAAAGAATTACTTTTGTGCTGCTTGGGTGTCCCAGACCACTTTCAGTGACCCCAGTGAGAAGTCAACCTGGAACATCAGCTGTATTAGGGAAAACTTTCTCTTTCCTTTCACAGGGATTCAGAAATTCTTGAGGGAGACAGTGAGGAGCTGCAGGAGAGATGGGTTTGTGCAGACCATCCTGGGAAGACGGAGATACCTGCCAGCTATCAAAGATCCAAACCCCTACAGTAAAGCTCATGTATGTTGAGTGCAGTTTCTTTTTTAAAGTATTAGATTTCTTTGCATATCCGTATCTACGGTTTTACAGGCTCTATGAGCCATCTTGGTCATGACCTTCCACTTCTTACTTAGTTCATTGTTCCCTCAGTTGTTCTCTGAGTAACAGAGCTTTTGTCATGGTCTGCTTGACGTAAGTCTTCTGTGACTGGGTGTACAGCTGTCATCACTGTGCTAACCTCACTTCAGAACTCCCGTGTTGGAACTGGAGTGAGTAATTTATTGAAATAAGTGGACAGGATTTTAAAAAGTCTCCACACAGTGATGTGCTTTAACTCCTCAGGCCGAGTTGCTCCCACTCAGCAGTCTTTGTCTGTTATATGCTGTCAGCACTTCAACAAGAAAGGGCATTTAAGTCCTGTATTTTTGGGTATTTTTTCATTTTCTTATTTCCCCTCAAAGGAAAATTGCTCAAACTTGTTAGATAAATATTTACTTAATATACGCCTTTGCACTGGCATTATTTTTTTTCAAGGTCATTTCAGACCCATCTGTCATAGACTCTACTTCAGTAAGAGTGAATTGACTCCCTGGGGAGATGTTGGTGCATTTCTGTGGGGAGGAAGCATTATGCTTCTCACTAGGAAGCTGGATCAGGTCGTGTGGAATTAAAGACTATAGTGGAAGAGGGAGGAGGTGGGAGAATCTGTATGCCAAGTAGTTGAAAGGGAAAGAAGGAGACTTTGAAAAAACTTTTTTTTTTAGGTGATTTGACTTTAATCTGAAGGATACTTTAGCGTGAAGCTTTGTAGATGCACCTTCTGTTCAACTTTAAAATCATATTAAAGACCAGTTAATGAATTATCTTCACTTTCATTTCAGCTTCCTCATAACTTTTTGCGCACATTTCAGCTCTAATCAAAGAGAGAAGAACCTTTGAATACAGTTTTCTTGTCTGAGGAGGGGATTAGTAGAGAGGTGACTTGTGTGGACAAAAAAAAGTCATTGTGTCATAGTGTGGTCTGGTGTGGTTTTGCACAGCTTTAATGCCCTGGCAGTAGACCAGATTATTAGTCCATGAAGTCCAGCTTCTTGCCTTTGGTTATACATTCCTGATGGTTTTGAAGATAGGCAGAAGCGTCTCATGATACTTGGATTAACTGTGAGATTTTTCTGCTCCTCATGGAACTGTTACCATGTGTATATGCTTCTCCCTCTTGTGGCTGGTGACTCTTGCAGGTTATTACCCTTGATATTAATTAATTTTAAATTTGTGGAAATCCTGCTCTTCTCAGTCACCTGGAGGAATTTTGTGTCTGAAGCTAGTCTACAATGTCTCTCCCTTTCAGGCAGATAAAACAGACTTTTATCTGGAGGTTTTACTACGCCTGTATTTGGCCATGTATTTATTATTTTTAATGAAGTACATTTGATTATTTTTTTTTGGGTCGGTTTTGAGAAGAACTATCTCTGTTTAGGCAGAGCGACAGGCTGTGAATACAACTGTTCAGGGATCTGCTGCAGACATTGTCAAAACAGCCACTGTGAACATTCAGAGACGCCTGGAAGCTTTCTCCTCTGTGATCAAGTCCCACGGACATCTGGAGAGCTCCTTCCAGAGAGATAAGACTGGTATGCTCTCCTCTTCCTTGCACACTAGAGCAAAACTTTCAGTGTTACTAATTTAAAAAAAAAAAATTGCCTGCAAAAAAAAGTTAGGGCCTTTGGGCTAGAAGTGGGAGACATTTCCTGACAGTGGTGAATTCTGTGTTTAATGGGAAAACAAGCCATAAGGAAGGGGGGAGAATGTCTGCTCAACACACAAACTAAAGCAAATGCTGTGATCGGATCAGAAACCCCAATTGCCTCAAAAGAGATCTTGAAAAGATTGGCAGTGGGAGTTCGTATGCGATGTGGTCCATGATGCTACCACAGAATTGTTCAAAAGTAGGAAGGAGAAACTGAGCGGATACTCTGGCTTCAAAGGCAGTGAAAAGATAGAGTGGAACAACTTCTAGTTCCAAAAATACATTGTTTTTTGGTTAGAATTAAATCTGGAATTTGTTGACTGGAATTCGATGTACAGAGGCCCCACAAGAGTATTCTATGAAGCACTTAGGAGCATAAATTTCTTCTGGCTGCAGATAGCAAAGCTGTGCTGGGGTACTCATTCCCAGAGGAGTGCTATGAAGACTATTTTTTAGCATAATGTAGGCATTGTTTTGTTCATCAGTCATGTATTTTTAGAAAGACAACTTAAGGGATGGAGTGCTGTGTTTCTTTGATAGTTCTTATGCTTCAACCTGAAACATGAAGCTGGCATAATATGAAGAGTCTGATTTGTAGGACTGAGAAGGAAAACTAAATAATTAATTGCCAAACCTCTAAAAATATGTCAGGGAGTCTCATTTTAGAGAGACAAGATTCAGAGGTCTGCTGTGAGTAGAAGGCACGTGCTTGGCAGAACCTCCCACCCACCCCCCCAGCAGCTGTGACCTTTGGCCAGTGTAATTGTAGGAAGGCGAGTAGATGCATTTGTGACAGTTTTTCCTCTTCTGATACTATCTGTTTCAAGAACTGGAATGAATTCTCTTTCATCAAGTTATAAATGTCTGTGCCATCAGAGAAGCATCCTGCATCGTGTGGCTTCTTCAACATTGCTGCTTTGGTGGGAGGCTTGTGTGAGGAACTGATGATGCTGTGAAACCCTTCCTGTAGTTGTGAACTGGAGTCCTCCTGTTAGCTAACCTGAGAAATAAATAACTTCTGAGTCTGTGTATGAGGTTGTGTTTGTTGATTTTTTTTTTTTTTTTTTAAAAGCTTTTACCATGGAACTGTGTGTTCTGTTTTAGTTTTGTCAGGCAAGGCCTACCAGGATCCTGTTTTTGTCAGTTGCTTACTTGTTTATTCAGAAGCTGCTCTTTTTTTCTTTCCTTTTTTTTAATCAGTAGTAGCTACAGTTGCAGATAACTGCATTTGGGAGGAGGCTTACTGCCTTTTTAGACTAGCCATTAAAATGATTTTGGAAGAAAAGCAGAATCCTACTTCATTGCCAGAGAGAACATTGTAAACCAACTTCTGAATAAACTTGACATGATTTTGTTTAAAACTTACTGTTAAAACAGATGGTTCAGGGGATGCAACTGTCTCTTGTTTCTGTTCTGATTCATATCTTTATAATGTAAGGCTGAAATGTTTATATCTAAAATGCTTTTCATTAACATTTTTCCCTCAGTAGCTGTACAAATATTGATAGAGTAGTAATGTTTTGTGGTTTTATCTGTAGGCATGGGCTTTTTAATTTTAAAGTTCCTCATGTTCTTTTTGTCAGCATTAGGAATGTGTGAGGGTTTTTTAATGACAGGAAAAATGCCTGTGCATAATGGTATCTAACGAACTGTGTTCTTCACCTGTGTAGGAAGGCTAGCGAGGAAGAGAAACAGAGGGATGTTACATCCTATCAGCGGAGGTTTCTTTATCCTCCAACTCCATGATGAGCTCCTCTATGAAGTTGCAGAGGACGATGTCATCCAGGTACAGCCGTGCAGTTGCTTTTTCAGCTATCTACTGCATTATGATGTTTCAAACAAGCCTTCCTTCTAGGGGCTCAGCTTTTCTTCCCTGGATCCTCTCTTGCTGTGTCCTAAAAGGTCTGTGAAATCAATGTTAAATTGGATGAAAGATGATGTCTGTATTCTTGATCCCTTTATTTTCAGACTCAAGCCATCCCCATGGCTGAAGTTCATTTTTCCAGCATGTGCTTTGCTACTTGTAACAGCAGTTTGTATGACTTCTCTGCAAGACTTGACGATTGATGTAATTTAATATTGTTGATAGGTGTATAGGGAGGTTTTCCCTCGTTTGGAGGTGTTTTTTGCCTCTGTTTGCACTCGTGTCTTCTGGTGCCTAACTCAGCACATGTATTGTTACAGCTGTGGTTTGTACTCTGTGTAGGAAAAGGATTCTGTGCTTTGGTACTTGTTTCCTCGTTCCCTGCCTACCTGTCTTTCTGGTAGGAGTGTTATGGTGCTGGTTAGCAGCATGATAGATATAAGAAATGTGCTGTGTGGACTTAAGGTACCTGTCGTGTGCCTATGTGTCTCTGTGTGTGCTCTTCCACTGGGTAGGTGCTGCTGTGCCTGGGCTTAGTGGTGTCTGTGTGACAGCTTTCAGTGTAGCAAGAGTTTTAGCCATGTGTTGGCAGCTCAGTGTTTTCCTAAATCCTGAGCACAAATGCAGGAAGGCTCCCAGAGCATGCTTCCATAGCTTAGGGGTGTCTTTTTCCCAATTCTGTTCTGTGCATACACATCTTCAATGACAAAAGGCCATTTCCTGATGGCAAGCAGTAACTCCTACTCGGAGAGACCTTTCAGCAGTACTGAGTGGCCTGAGCATTTTTTTTAAATTTCATTAAGAACAAAAGGTTTAATATTTTTCTCTTGAATCTCAGCTCAAGCTTCTGTTCGTTTTGCGAGCTCTGTTCAGACATCTGCTACTTCAATGTAGGCAGGCTGTTTTAGGGATGAAAAGGCTCCTAATTTTCTTTCTGTAGAAAACTGAAATCCCCTGAGTATAGGCTTTTACGTCTTTAGATACTGACTCCGAGTATCACAGTGTCCCCAGAAGAACTGGGGCCAAGTGAGTAGATTTGCTTATTGTATTGTATTTTTTTCATTAGCAGCCTCAACTTCGAGGGCAATTATTACCAGCTTTTCTAATTTTCTTCCTTCAGATATGTTTCTGTTAATAGATTTTCTGGGCAGTCACTTAAAACAGCATATGTACACAAGACATGTATCCTAGACTCAGACTTTCCTTGTATGTGTCAGATTTGCTTGTTTTTCAAGGATTTCTGTCTAGCTGAGACAACAAGGTACTCCTATTCTTGCTCCTTTGATTGTTTTTAGGGCCAGAAAGGATCTTTTTTTGTGATAATGGTGCCTGCTGTCCTCTCGGATGCACCATTAGAATTATCCTATAGTCGAAAGATCTAGGTTGGAAAGGATCTCTTAAAGTCTCTCCCTCTCAGGCCCCACTCAAAGCAGGGCCTGAATTAATTAGTCCTTTTAGACTACAATATACCTTTTAGTAAAAAAGAAGTGAACATTTCTTGGCTTCTGTATTGGTGAGGGTTTTTTTCATCTTACTGGCACTAAGGCTTTATTATACTGTAAATCATGTCTTTCTCGGCTGCAACAGCAATTTTTATTCAGGCACGTTAGTTTGGTCACGTGCTTGATGCTGGCTCTAGCTTATTTTCAGCTGCTAAAGTATGCAAAAGAAAACTAAAAATATCTTTCCATATATCTAGGAATTTGTGTTCCAGTCAGAGTATCCTTACAAATGGTTTGTAAGAGAAACAACGCTAGTGCTCTGTTTTCATTTGCAGTCTATTAGTGAGCTAGCTTGCCTCTTTAAAAAAGACCACATTGGGGTAATACCTGTTTTTTCTTGTGCTGAAGGCGTGAAATGCCTGGGGCATCAGGGCTTTCCTCGTCTGTGCAGAATGTCAAAGTGAAGGCAGGGAGCTTTCAGAGCTTGTCACAGTAGCAAGACTGTGATAATATGGCCAAAGATGGTAGATTGAGGCTTGACCTTCTATCTGTTGAGCTGACCCTGGCAATGAGGAGTCAGGTAGGAACATAAAGGTATGGACTAGATGAGGAATCAAAGGGTAGGTGCTTTTAAACTGCTTGCTTGTTGCCAGCATCATTGCATTTATGTTTTTAAGATGGCCAGTATTCCTCCAAGCGTGTTTTAGCTGACCATTGAGAACCCTGGAAACTTTGCTTAATGTACAGGAAATTCAGAGCCCAAAGACCCCCGGTTCAAGGGCATTGGCACATGTCCCATCTCATCCCATCAGCTTTCCCAGGAACCTCACGCAGGTTTTCGTGTCTCCCCTGCAGCTGCTGTCCCTTGTTCTATGTGCAGCAGCCCTAATCTGATGTTCCTCGCTGGTGGTGTGTGCTGGACCTGTGAGCGTGCTCAGAGAATCTCCCTCTGTTCATGTTTCTTTTGAAATACTTGGCCCCAAACTTGACCAAGGCTGCAGTGGTTTGAACAGAGTGGAAAATTGATGTGTGTGTCACACAAGCAATATTTTCTTTTTCTGTGTTCCAGAATTGCATTTGCTTTCTTTCTCACAGCAGTGTGCCTGTTCAGTTTTTAATCTCTGATAACCCCATTTTTTTTCCTGCCCAGGCAGTTATTTTTTCATCCTTATTTTGAACAGTAGATTATTTCTATCCTGCTTCTTTCTATTCTGTACTTGTTTGTGCTGAATTACATCCTATTTCAAAGCATTTTTCTAGGTTATCAAGATCATTTTGAAATGTGGTATGTAAGGGCATAGGGTTTTGGAAGACAAATCTCCCCCTAGTTCTTAATGCTGTTGTAAACTCTTGTGCTCTGATCTCCTCAAATCCCCTTCTCCATTCCCCAGTGAGAACTGTGGAGGAATTTCTACTGTGGGTACCTGTGAGGGAATTATGAAAATGCATGGAAGGGTCAGAAAGCTTGAATAGTTCGTAGGCTGACACAGTGGCCTCTAGCTGAGATGAGGGATCACAATAATTTCAAAGCCTCTTTTCATTCTGCTGTGGAAGGGTTTGTGGGGTGGGTGTGCATTGAAAGGTTCACTCAAATAAGCAATCAGGATAGGCTAGACTCCACGTGTGTCTTGGGGTAGGAAAAAGAGTCCTTTTATCCAGGGGCAGGTATTTAGAGTCAGGAAAAAAAAAATCCAGTCTCTGACAATCCAAAAAGTCACAGGCAAAAATATCTTCTGGTCGCCTAACTGTGTACTTAAATGAGTGTTTTCTTAGAAATACCTTTGGAGGGCAGCAAATGTTGGAGTTGCCTCAACAAAATAGTGAGGGGGAACCTGGGTGGTATTTCTAGCACCTGCATTGAATGTGATTGCTTTCCCAGAGGTTTGTAGTTTGTGTTTCACGGAGTGCCTCTCGCCGACACAACGAGGAGGAACACAGTTCTTTGCCTCTGGTGTATTTGGTGTATGTCTTGCTTTCAGTACATGGAAGTTTTCAGAACAGACTCCACAAAACACTTAGAATTATGCAGCTGGGTGAAAGAGGAGACTCTGCAGGACTCTCAAGTGTTTAATGGAAACTTAATCTTGCCTCTTTTCTAAGTAGCCTTAAACAGTGCGGAACCAGTCACAACTCTGTGCTGCATAAAATGTTACTGGCTTCATACAGTTTCTCCATTCATAAACCCTAATCAGGATTAAAATGTTTGGTTGCGTTCCTGTCAGTTGTAAGTCAGTGCAAATAAACACAGGAGAGGATTCCAGGTGTCCGGCCATCCTGGCTATTGACAGACAAACAGAGCACTGAAGTTATGCATACATCTGATGTTTTGCATTTTCTTGTAGGTCGCTCAGATTGTCAAACACGAGATGGAAAACGCCATCAAACTCTCAGTAAAACTGGATGTTAAAGTGAAAATTGGACCTAGCTGGGGAGACCTGCAGGACCTGGAGCTCTGACATGAAATGCGGCTTTCTCGCATGTGGTGAGGTGGAAGGCACCATGGACGGGGCAGGGCAAGGGCCAGCGCAGCGCCAGACCTGCGTGCAGCGCGATCCTCCTGTATTGTGTTTTTACAAACGTCGTTGCAAACTGCCTTCTGAAATGTGTGGTGGAAGCTGGTATGAATTCACCAAGCCAAATCCTTCAAAGGTCAGACCGCGCAGAAGCATGTTTACAGAACTGTGAAATTATTAATTGCTAAAAGCACAGTATTTAAATGAATTCTGTTAAAATATGCTTGATCTTGTAATTTAAAGCAAAACCCCAAAGCCTAATGAATTTATTACATATGAAATGAGCTGGATTAATTTATTAAAACAAGGCAGAAAGGTAATTTGGCAGTTCTTGTGCGTAATTGGGTATAGGACAAAAAAATAAGTCATTGTGTTTGCACTTAATGTTGAATTTTATAGTCCTCTGCTAGGATCACTTTGTACTGAATTCTGCTGATGATCTTCACGTGCCAAAATGGCTTTGCAGCTGGCTGGATTTCTAACTGAGCAGCTGTGCAGCGTTCACAGTGAGTGGAACCGGTGCTCGGTTGGCCTCTGACTTTTAGGAAAGCATTTTGATGACTGACTCTCATAATTCATCCTACTGCTGCCTTGCAGACTGGCCTTGAGAGGGATAGTGTTTGGACTCTCTTATAAGTAACACAAAATCACCGGCAAAAACATTCCTTTTAAAAGAATGAAACTCAACTTATTGGTTAAAAACTTAACGACAATTCATATGTTTATGAAGAAAAAAAAAATCTCAGGCTGGCCAGCTGAAGTTGACAGCCTTGCTGGTGTTTGAGGTCTGGTGGGTTAGAGAGGTGTCGCCGAATGGTGGTGGGTGACCTGTGGCTCTTCATTCAGAGACCCATCTCCTAGGGAAGCCTCATACCCTGCCTGTTGGTAGCCTGGCTAAAAACTGCTCAGATTTCCCCCGTGCTTTGCTGCAGTGTCTTTGGCTCCATCCCTGTGATCAGGCAGAAGGTTCTTCTGGGAGTTTGGGCTTGTCAGGCTGAGCTGATCCTGCGAGTGACTCGGGTCAGCTGCCGGGATCAGATGCTTCAGAAGAGGGGGCAAGGAAGGAGCTCGCAGGGAATTAATCTGCCACTGTTTGGCGTTACTGTCCTCACTAATACCTTCTGGTCTGGCTAAACCTCACATCACATGGTTTTGTTTCCCTTCCAGATGGTTGCAATGGTTATACAAGTTCAGCTGGTTTTGATAACTTCATACAATGCCTGACCTTGAATTCTGTTATTTACATCGTGTGGCCGTTACATGTTACAAGAAAGGGAGGACAGGTGCCTCCTGTCATCTTCTTTATGCCTCCAATTATTTTATCATGTCTTTTCTTCTGCAGTTCCTCCCTAATGTAAACATCTCCATCTTTCCATTCTTGCCTCCTATGAGAAATTTTCAAGCCCTTAATTATTCTTTCATTTCTGAACTTCTGCTGGATCCTTTTTAAAAGAAGTGTACTTTTGAAGTTGCTGTTATCGCCTGATCTGAGAGGATGCATACTTGGCTTTCAACAGCCTGATAGCGTGCTTGAGCTTGTTAACTTCAAATGCGCTGCTTTTGGCGTGGCCATTACCCTGACATCAGAAGTACCTGGCACTGAGGTTTCAAGAACACGGTGAGTTTTAAAAGATGCTAACGGGGCCTGCGCACAAAAGGCCGTATCCTGGACTCTGATCCACCACCTGCCCGTTGCGCAGCAAAGCGGGCATGTGGTATCGAGCCAAAGCCCCGGGCGAGGATGCCTTGACTGCCCTTCTCAGCACCTACCTGGCCTTCTTTCCTGTTTTGGATTTCACTTTACGTTGAGACTTTTTGTCTCCTTCCTGCCTGCTCTGCGCTGTGGTTTTCTACCACATCTGCCACCTGATGGCTGAGCTCTTCATCCACAGCATTCGGTTGATAGACAGTTGTTTCTTTTCTTAGCTTACTAAAGCTTTTGTTATTAACAGATCTGAGCCTCGGCACCCTGGCGTCTGACCATTTGTGTGCTCTGCCTGTGAAGATGCTGGGTTGGACTCATTATCAGTTCACAGGGCCTAATGATTTCCTGTCCCTGGGTCTCATGCGGTGACACACCTGTGCTGTATTTCAGGCCTCACCGGAGCTGCTGTAATTTGAGTTGCTTGTTCTTTGGCACATTACAAGATTTTCCTCCCGCACGCTCTCGTTAGAATTTCAGAAGGATGGATCTCGTGCGTATTTCCCAACAAGCTCTCTAGACAGGGGTGATGCTAATCAATAAGGTGATAGACAGGGAACTAAACCTATTTTGCTAAACAAACTCAAGGAGTTCATTTTAATTAAGCAGTAATTTGGAGCAAATGAGAAGATAAAAGGTGGCCACTGCTCTGTAAGTGAGGCGGCTGTGGCATTTGAGTCATGGTATTAGAACTGGCTCTGAGCTGTTGGCTGATTGCTGCTATTTACATTCCTTAATTCCTTCATTCTGAGACTAAGCAGGGGAAGCAGAAGAGGACTTAGGTCAGGTAAGCAGAGGCGCTGCTTAGAACTGTGCAGAAGAGGGTACCTGCTATTTTCTGAAGTTGGTAGAAGGACATTGGCTGCTCGCATTACTTATTTTTGCCTGTGGGCCCCTCTCCCTGCACCTCTGACGGGCTGAGGCCTGTGTTTAGTTGGAAACTGGGCTTTTTTCTATTTCAGGTCCTGATAACCAGAGTGCGGGTTACTCTCTGTAGAGAGGATGGGATGCATCTCATTGTGTTTGCTCTCTGTTCCTCAGCTTGTTCGTGTCTCTCTCTTTGCAGTCCGCTCCTCCCTTCTGTTAGTTGCCGCTGCACAGCACGTGCAGTAACACGCATGGTCTGGCAGCCCAAAAAGATGACGGGTGAACGCTGCGGAAGGGGTAGGAGCTATGTTTGTTACAGCAGCTTTGTCACTCGGTGTACACAGAGCTGCTGCTGCAGCCTAGTCCTGCCTCATGTCCTGTGCTGCCCTTGCCTGGCTGCTGCACCAGCAGGTGGGTGTCTGGCTGCCGGAAGAAATTAAGTTGGGACCCCGTCCTGACAAATAGCCGTGGTCACCAGGAAAGCCTTGCCTTCACATCACGTGAACCTGTCCGACCCAGCTCCTCGCAGGGAGAGCCCGTCCCCTTCGGCTGCCGAGCAGCCTTGTTCCATCGGTTCCTATATCCTTTCTTGTCAAAAAGACTCAAATTTCAATTTGGCTTACTACTGGGATGGGGCAGAACTTCCCCGGACTCGGTAGCAGGGACTCCTGCCACTGATGTTTGATACAGCTACTCAGTCCTTTTCCTCACGTGCAGACCACAAGCTTGTTTTGGCTTGGTCTTTCTGCTGCAGCTTTCCTTCTCTCCCTGCCTACTGAAAGTGCTGTGTGCACTTTCTTGTAGCTGGGCAATGGTGGGAGAGGCAGGTGACAAATGATGACACATACCTAATCTGATCTGGTTTGGTCCTTTTGCCTTTTTCCTATGCCATTTGTATTTCTTCAAGAAGAGAGTTGTAGACTTTTCCCTGCTTTTTTTTTTCGTATAAATCCATAGCTGAAAAGAGGGAGCTGGAAGCTCAGTAGCTTTGGCTGACGTTTTTCAGCCTCTCCTGGCGGAGCAACTCAATCATGTTGGCAAGTGCCCTTAAAGAAGCTCGCTTCTGCCCTTCTGAGATTTCAGCTTGTAGGTGACTGCTTTTAACCTGAAGTGGAAGTGGTGTAAAGGGCGCTCTCAGTCGGCTGAGAAGTCCAGGTAACAAGGCTGCTGTTCCCGGGGACTGGTGGTACGACTACGAGCGCCATGTGAGCTCCCTGCAGGAAAGCATCGGAATGTTAGCTGGGGTCCAGGTTTCGTCCCTGCCTGAGCTGCTGGAGGAAGGGAGGTGGCCTTCCCCACTCCACCAACAACCGTGGCTGCATCTGCCGTGTTCCTGAGTGACTGAGTAGTGTCAACGCCAACCAAAGGCTTTATACAAACCATGCACCTTCAAAATACTATAAAGAATCTAGGAGTAGTGGTTGAAAAAAAAAGAGAGATCTACACCAACTAATATCAATTCTTTCCTTTATTTTTCTTTCCCTCTTTTTTTTTTTTTTTTTTTTTT